GCACAATGAAGTGGGGTCATGACATGACATATTACACATATACTACGATATAGCTGTAAACATAGTTGAAACAGGAACAAACGCGAACGCATTATTTGGTCCGATGTGGGTCCTCACCACGGCAAAAACCGCGGCCTTCGAGCCGCCAATCACGTGACGCCATGACATGTCAATCATTCCGGTAGATACGTAAGCCGTCACCACGGTGACGATGCGTCACTCCCGGAGTTGATACGAAGCCTGATGCACGTGGTGCGCTTAGCTGTCAATCATTTTCGCAGCCAAGGAAACCGTCACCACGGTGACATACGTCGCAATCCCAGTACTCACCGGGGTAAAGATGGCGACCGAGTGTTATTGTTGTTGCTGTAGTCCTGGCAACGTTACTTGTTGTCACGACAACTATAGTCGTTTTTGAGTGGTGGAAATGAAACGACCGTATTCAGACTTTTTAGTCGTTACTCAGTCGTGAATTAGTCGTCGCGATGGATATGGTCGTGAACTGGTCTGGATATTAACTATATACGACTAATACCAGTCCAGTTTACGTCCACCAAAAAGCAATGGGCAAAATGTACGACCAAAACACTACCGATTTCAGCCTATCCATTCAACACGACCAACGACCCATTTCACCCCCAAGTCAGACCGATCAACGACCTGCCCGTGCACTGTGCATTGAAGAAGAAACCACCAGGCAGTCTGTGGTTTATGCATGTATCTTCTAACTCCATGGTTTATGTCAGTTTTAATAAAATATATGTCACATTATCCTATTTTAAACCCAGGTATATCAGTTTGGCTACCTAAATTTTGTAGTATGATGTAGGAATAACTTTGAATCAGTATCCATCTATTTTGAACAGGTTTTCCTGTACTAAAACATGTTGATAACTGCTGTATTTCAGGTACATGTGAGATGTTGGGGACCATCCTACCGATTCTGCTGGCCATTGTGGCCTACAGGCTGTACAAGTGGGTGCGAGGACTCCCCCGTATCCCCAGTACTGCAGACAAGTATGTACTCATCACGGGGTGTGACACAGGCTTCGGCAAACTGCACGCTCAACGTCTGGATAAGGTAGGTGTGATTTTGTGTAAACCCTCACAGTGTTAACTAAAGACTCTTTGCCAAGCTGCATGCACAACTAAACATCTGGATAAGCAAGGTTTGTAGTAACCCCCTCAGTCATTAAAAGTGTCATAAGGCTCATCACGGTGTGACACAGGGTTTGGGAAACTTCTGGATAAAGTAGGTTTGAACCCTCACAGTGTCAATTTTTTTTTATTACTAAGTAATTCCTTTATTGCATTAGATACGTACAAAGACATGATACAAGGGGCCAGGAAGGCACAGTCTCAAGGTCACTATATTACTAGTACTTGAAAGCTCTTAGTAAGTCTTAGATTTCTCTACATATACAGTCAACCTGTAGAGATGACCAATTCTAGATAATGACTACTTGGCCGATGTGATCTTAATTTTTCCCATTGACACAAGCATAAGAATCCTGTCTATATTGACCACCTGTTCACATAGATCAAGTTTTATTGGTCCCCTGCTTGGTCTTCTTGGGCAGGTTTGACTGTTTCTAACTCACCTCCCCCCAGCTGGGGTTCCATGTGTTTGCAGCCTGTCTGACAGACAAGGGACAGCAGGACCTGCAGCAGCTGTGTTCCGACCGCGTTGTTACCGTGGCGATGGACGTCACCAGTCACGACAGCATCCTGAAGGCACGCGACGTCGTCAGGAGTCATGTCGGGAAAAATGGAGGTGAGACAAAATGCTGCTCTTAGAATACATGCAAAGTACATACAAACTTTAACATCTGTAACCTCTAAGTTAGATGTCAGAGACAAGAGTGTGGAGTATCTAGTGGTTAGCTATGCAGCATCTGGACCGGAGAGTCAAGAGCCTGAACAGGATCTGTTATCATAAAATATTATTGATCCTTGGCTGAGTCATACCAACGACTCTAAAAATAGTACATGCTGCTTTCTCTTAGCACTAGCACTAGCATTTGGGAAAGAATATGGGAGTTTAACACACACTTCTACCAGTGGACTAGCCCCCTGCTGTAGTGATTGCTGTACTGATTGCACAACTGTGTGGCCCAAGGCCTTTTGAACAGGAGATGAGCATTGTCCTATGGTGCTGGAAGGACTTAAAAACTTTTTAAAAACATTTTCTTAACTAGTGTTGTAAAAGTCATTGATTGGTTGTTTGAAGGACTGTGGGGTCTGGTGAACAATGCTGGGATATTTGGCACCATGGGTCATATCGAGTGGCAATCTAGAGAAGACTACGTCCGCACCTTTGACGTGAACCTGTTTGGTCTGGTGGACGTCACGCGTACCTTCCTCCCGCTGCTGAGGAACGCAGGCGGCCGCGTCATCAACATCTCCAGCATATACGGCAGGAACGACCCAGGCTCGGGCGCGTACGGTGCATCGAAGTTCGCTGTGGAGGGGTACTCCGATTGTCTAAGGTTGGTGTTTTGATGTTTTTTTTCTGGTTATAGGATTTTATGTAAAAATATTTCTATTGGATGAATGTTGTTTCTGATTTAACACTCCTTGGCTCCAGGGCCAACATGCTCCCAACGACCATGGCTCTAACTCTGGGCAGTGGCAAAATTTCCTTGTGAGAATGTTGGCCCTAGAGCAAAGGAGGTGGTGTATGTAGGGCCTGGAAACAGCCTTGCATCCAGGCTTGGTATTATGCAGCTTCTACATCTAGTTTTGTCTCCTAGTTTGCAAGTCCACTGAAATGTTGCCTTGCTCCTTGACAGGAGGATGATGAGCTTCTATGGTGTCTCAGTGCACATCATGGAGCCCGGAGTCTTCAAGACTGAACTGACGTCTCCCGAATCATTCGAGCGCATGATGCAGCAGTCTTATGACAAACTGGAACCAGATGTACAGGACTGGTACGGAGAGGAGTACTTGAACCACGGTAAAGACTATCACAATGATTGTAGATTTTTTGGCAACACCTCAGGAGTGGAGCCTTCTTTATAGTATTGGGCTTAGTTAAATACGGAATGAATGGATTATGGAGTGGCTCTAGATCTGTGAGATTAGGTAGTTGTTCTGGTTCTGGACAACGGAGTAGAAACCCAGACATTGTATGTTAAAATCCCTGGACCTTCCACTTGGACACTAGTGGAGGGGACTACATTTCAGTGGTCAGACTGCCCTTTGGAGGGCCCTACATTAAGCCTTTGGTCCAGTGTATAGGGGAGCCTCGACAGTTACTTAAACCTCTGTGATAAGGATATGGGTCCAGTACAAGTGTGCTTGGGCAAATTTGGGCTTATTACATGGCTTGTCTTCATATGAAGTTATGAATGAATAAATGAATCAGAGAAATGAATATTCAGTCTGTATTAGATTGCTATAGTATGCGGTTTGAGTCTAATAAACTTTTTTTATTCCCATGTAGCAAAAGAAACAGCTAAGAAGATAGCCACTACCTTTGGCTCCACCAACTATAACCATGTGGTGGACGCTGTAGCCCACTGTCTGACCGCCGTCCACCCCCAAAGCCGGTACGTGTGTGGCTGGGACGCCCGGCTCCTGATGATCCCCCTGTCCTGGCTACCCACCGACGTGGGGGATTTCCTACTCGGTGTGCTGTTAGGGAAACCCAAGGTCTCACCCAAAGGGGCAAAACAGAACTAGGCCAGTTTTTGAAAATTTTTTGAAAATCCTTTATGGTAAAATAGAGGATTTGTCTTGGGGAGCAAAACCATGCTATGTAATTTGGGAATCCGATAGTCTTACTTCAGTTAATCTTATTCTCTGCCAGTCAATAGATTTGATGTCCTATTCATGGAGATCATGCTCAGTATTAAATTATCATAATAATTTTAAGGTATTGTCTTCTAAGTTGGAAGTTTCCGCAGCCTAATGGTCCCTCACTCCTCTTCTATGTTTACTCATAATACACTTGGCCATATCAGCTATAAGCCTGTAATTTTAGCTCTGTAAATTTTAACTTAGATGGAACAAATTGGATATTTAAAAAGCACTGATGGAAGTGTCTCAAATCAAGTTGGTCTGCAAACAATCATGTATGCATCAGACTGATGATCTCATATTTTTGATAAGGAAATGTATAGAATTTATAATAATGAATGAAGTGGATGGTTATAGGAAAATGTATGTGATACACCAATATTTAAAAAAAGCAAATGTGGGATTGGCAAACAAGGCAACTCCTGGTAGCATTGCTCTATTAAGTGCACTGCTTAAAATCACTCAGATCCTTTTACTGAAATGTCAAGAAGGGTAGTATTGCCTTCAGCTACAGAAAGAACACAATGCCACAAAATTGTCTGCAGCCAAGTTTATTCTAAAGAGTAGACTGGAAATTCTAGGGTACAGATATGCGCAATTACAAGAGAGATTCTTTTTCCAAATGCATTGAATTTGTCATCATTGCTGAGTGTTCAAAGGTACCTTACAGGCTAACCTTTGCGAACATTAGTTAGTTTAACCTGGGTAATACCCTCGCCAATTCTATGACTGCAAAACTGAACAAGGATGATACCAGGTGTAGTAGGCCAGGGCAGAATATACCTATGATCAGGTGTAGATTCTGGCCTGCTCATGCCCGTAGCCAGGATTTTAATGGGGGAAGGTGGGTTCTTCCTACTGTCTGAGGGACCAGAGCACAGAAGGTTGGGGGGCATGCTCACCTGGAAAATTTTTGAAATAGAACCTTCTGAAATGAAATTTCCTGCGCTTTTGAGAGGTTTTCAAAGGAAAAATCAGACATAACTTTTTCTTCAATGACAAAGTGAGCAGTTTTTCCTCATTAATTATGCAAATTAGATCCTATTATGTCAAGCATCACTTAAGCTACCTACATACCAAACATCACAACGATCCATTGGCAAGTTGTTTAGTTATCATCTCTCGAAGTTTTTTTGAAGAACCCGTCCTGCAGTTCCAGAACAAGCTGCTATGGGGCCGGAACTCAAATGACTTTTAGCTTAGCACAAGAGGTACGTACCATTCATGAGCCCAGATCGTGAAATATCAAAACCGGAATTTCTATTGCAGTACCAAAGGAAACCACTAGCGGGCCCAAAATCTAATCATTTCCAGTTTTTGTCACACCTTACAAATGCAGTATGATTTTTTTCTGAAATTATCCAGCATTGAATGAGATTTTTAAAGCCACTCCCTACCCATCGTCATGCAGGTGTGGGTGGGAGTGTCTAGCCTGAGAACCAGTCCGGATTTCAGGTCAATGGGATTTAACATTACGGTAGGGAAGCCCAAAACATTTTTTGAGTGAAGTCATTATTTTTATGATACCCCCATACAAATCATCACGTCATTTCTCGTTGATATCATGAAGTCCAAAATATATGTTTGGTGGTACACATGAATAAAATCATTTCAAAGCACTGTATCATGTATTCAAGCCAAAATAATGTTTAGCCAAAATGCCAAAATTGTACATCCCCAAGCGTCCCCAGACCAAATTAATTCCAAACCTTTAAGGCGATATTATGTAAGATTTTCACTAATTTAAAGATCGTTGTTTTAAACATTTCCTTGCGCTTCAAGCCTAACTGGGTTCATAATGAAATTTGGGAAGTCAATGATCACCGTCATTGCGCCGCAAATAACGTGTTAAAAACTGCCTCGATTTGTTTGCCACTGTTTGTTTACCTTCTTTTTAGGAGCCTCCCAAAACTACAGCGGGACTGGTGCAACTTATTCTCGCGCTGCGCTGAGTCGCTGGAAAAGCGAAATAGCGACGCTAAAATATGGTGAAAGTTATTGAAAATGACAATCTAGATAAGAAAATTTCGATTACATGTACTTATATTCTTAGTTTTTGGCGCAAAAATCTTACGTAGTATCGGTTTGAAATCTGCTCAAAATGCAAGGAACAATCCAAAAAAAATCACCGAAAAATCCCAAACACCATATTTGCCAATATGGGAGAGCAAATCTTTTAAGAGGGAGTCTAAGATAGAGCAAAACAAGCGAAGGTACGTTGGGCATCGCACTCTTGCCATCAGGTGAATCGAATTTAGGAGGGCTGTGCTAAAATACCGCGTCAATGGGTCTTGCGCTATCTCATTGGTACATCATCAAGTTTAGGTAAACGTTAGATAGGCCCATGGACATATCATGAATAAAGAAGTCAACGTTGGGTAGGTACCGGTCGTGTGCTCTTCTCGGAGCTTCTGAGTAGGCCATACGTTTCCCCTGGGCGCATCATTTAGGCCGTGCGCTCTTCTGAAGGAGCTTCTGAGTAGGCCATACCGTTTCCCCTGGGCGCATCATTTAGGCCGTGCGCTCTTGTCGGAGCTTCTGAGTAGGCCATACGTTTCCCCTGGGCGCATCATTTAGGCCGTGCGCTCTTGTCGGAGCTTCTGAGTAGGCCATACCGTTTCCCCTGGGCGCATCATTTAGGCCGTGCGCTCTTGTCGGAGCTTCTGAGTAGGCCATACCGTTTCCCCTGGGCGCATCATTTAGGCCGTGCGCTCTTCGGAAGGAGTTTCTGAGTAGGCCTTACGTTTTCCCGTAGTTAACGTTGGGTAGGCCGTGCGTTTGCTATCCCATTGGTGAACCATTAATGTAGGTCTTACGCTGTCCCGTTGGCGCTAGCCTCCTTTGCAGGCGTCCCGGGAGCTGTCGGCGTTTCTGTTTTTTTTTTTTTTTTGGGGGGGGGGGGGGTAGTAAGCACCCTGAAACTCTTAGCGCCCCGGAACGCCTGTAAAGGAAGCTATGTTGGCGCATGGATGGAGGGAATGACAAGGCCCTACATTTCCGGCATCACGTGATTTCAATGAATGCCATGCCAGGCACTCGGTCTGACTTCAGACCGACTTCCACAGGGTTTTCAGGAACCCTGGAAGGCGCTTGCGTTTCTTGGAGTGTGGGATGTCCTCCGACATCGGCTGCTTAGGCACAGTGCGCTCAGTCAGATCATACGGGACGTGACTGGGCACACTTGGCCCTGCAGCGATGTCCGGAGGACGACCAGCCGGCAGCTTCTCGATCACGTCGCGCCGACCAATCGTCTTCAGGGCTGCCAGGAGCTTCTGCATCGTCGCCTCGTTGCCTTCCTGTTGTTTCCACTTGCGGAGACCTTGGTAGGCTTTCTCGATAAGGCCGTCAGCCTTGTAGTCGTGGTCAACTACGTCCAGGTCGTTGTCTTTCAGGCTAAGGTAGCGAAGGAGGCGTTTCCAATCGTTTCCGATGTGGTCTGCCACAATTTGGAGCTCCTTTGTTAAGTCAGCTGTCACTTCTTCCATGTCATAACCTACAGGCACAAGTTAAAGTAATGTGTAAACTAAAGTTCCACGCTAAGTAATGTTAGCCTTTAGGGCTGACGAATTATAAAATCTAATTGTGCCCCGCTTTAAAACAACTTACCAAAACACCAAATGCCATAAAGATCCATCTACGACGTTTCCACTCCAGTTATACTAAAACATAACCTTCATGTCCAAGAAAATGTATGAAATGACATCCGGTATTGTAGGTGTTTGTGGGGGAAGCTGTCGCCAGATTTTGTTTACAAAATACGCTGTGTCGTGACATGAATACATTGTATTTGTAAAGCTGAAGGTAACTGCTGAATTATGTTGCAAGCTTGGAACGTGTATGATAGTACTTTATTTGTGATTTTGAAATCTGGAGAAAGAATTTCCCAACTGCAAGTATACACACGTTTTGGTTGAAGAAACACAGCCAAACACATGCACGCCTCAACGACCAGGACACGTCAATACCAGGATTGTTATTTGGGCTTTAACAATAACACCTATCGTCCGGTGTGCTGCTATGGTCTTATGTCTAAATGGTGAACTTATAAGTATAGATACAACTTACGGTAACATTGTGCTTCACCTCAAGAAGGCATCCGTTTTACCTTTAGCCCAAGTTTAGCCCTTTTGGTGCGGGAAAATGCGCTTTGGAAAAGAGGAAATACTGAGTGCAGTAAGATTGCAAGTTCCAACCGCGCCCCGCCCAATATATGGGGGGAAATAAACGACAATGCCGCAAAAGTTGTGCGTCAACACATCTAGGGCAACTATAGCTGCAACACAAGGCCAAGCTGTTCCAAACACTTAGCTATATAGCGTCTACCAGCTCACCTTCGATATGGGGCCAATTTCCTACGTCTGGGTAGGAGACCAAGATGGCGAAGGTCTGAGTCACGGAGTTCCCCGAACGGGTAAACAGGTGTCACGTTTCAGGGGACGTTACCTGGGTGACCATTGACGTCATCGCTTCTACCAGTTTCACAGGTACACCTATTTACACCACCAGTTTACCGGTGAATAGTAAAGTCTTCAGGTCTCGGAAAATATGTTCTGCTCCGATTTCAGTCCTGAAAAACATAGGGTCCGTATTCTCTTTATTGTACGTTGAAATAAATACAGTACATGTATACAACAAAGTAGACTGAAATGTATCAGGACCAGGGCTTTCTATGACAAGGACAGCGACTCTATATTGATATTGTTCCATTACAAACTTCATGACCGCCTTTATTCTGCAACGCCCCGCATTGTTCGAAAAGTTGTTCTGGAACCGCAAAATTCCCCGTGTTCCAGACTAGCAACGGCGTTCGATGCGGTTTGTTTACATTCTCGACTGACTCCGCGAGCGACGGACGCACCTTGAGCTGCTCCTCCCCTCAGTCCATATAGTTGAGAAATTTTCTGAGACAAGATGTCCAGACGACGTGGCCGGCGAAGGTTCCGGCGGTCTCGGGCTCGAGCCGCTACTTTCCCCACGTTCCCGGCCTCTGCTGTCCCCGCTGAGCCACAGTACGGACGGCGGCGGCTGCTGACTGCCGTGCCCGCTGAGCCACAGTACGGACGGCGGCGGCTGCTGACAGTAGCTGTGATCTCGGTGTTGGTCCTGGTGGCTGTGACGACGGTGAGTTTTCTACTTCATCACTTCATCTATGTTATCATCGACCATTATAGGTACTGATAGGTCTACGTTGCAAATTTTGTAATTTTGTTTTCAAATATTGTAATAATCATTTCGTCTAATTTGAGGAAGTTTCTTCAAAGACGATTTTAGAGATTTGCCGAAGTCAAATAACGATGGATGACCGCCCGGCGTGCCTTGTTTATCTCCACACTGTGTTACAATGGAAGAATGTGTTAATTTCAGGTAGTCGCTCTGACTATCACTGTGCAGTCCTGGCCAGACACCCCTGAAGATGAGACTCCGGTCAAACTCCCCCCGTACCGAGCCTGGGGATACCGCCCAGCGGGAGTCGATCCCACCGTTCCCGACGACACGATCATAGCTGATGCTCCTCCAACCAACGGTCCCCCGATTCCTCCCACAGACCAGGTGAAGACCGTCCCAGACCAGACGGACACGCCCGGATTTGACGACTGGGATTTCCTGAGTGGAGAGAAGCACTATGATGGTAACATCCCGGTGAGACGCCGCATTGATGAAAACGAGCTTGATCCTTCCGAGGACGTGGCACCACCAGATGAGACCCCGGCGACTGAGTCTACCGAACTGAAGCTGAAACCGGACGCTTCTGTGGAAACCCAAGCGAAGGGCGACCTGAAAAACACGCCGGACATGACTGATGTAGACAGTGTGCTCATCCTGAGTACTACAGAACTAAACCTGTACCTCAGCTCCGTCATGAACACAAACATGACAAGTCGGGAGAGGAGGCACCGCGTGATCAGGCGGATCAAACGCGTCCAGACCGTGGCGCTAGTGGTGGTGGGACTGTTAGTGGCCGGCTCGCTGGTACACAACCTCATGGCACAGATCACGTAGAGAGAACAGTTCCACATCAACGTTTGTTGACTGTTATGTTATGTTATGTTATGTTATTTTGTTACTGTTATATGCTTCTGATGAAGCTACACTTCGCTGATCGATGACGGTATGTTTCTTTTTTATGTTTACAACATTACCCGTGTCAACATGTCTACGTGTATAGAAGGCGTTCAGCACCAAGGACAGGTGTGGTTCTCTGCGGTTTCATATACGCATCCAATACCAGAAGACTTATGGTATATCCGGCTACCCTTTGTGAAAACTAAGTGTTGACAGCCTTGTAGTTTCATCTGTCATACAATATCTTATCAACAAAACATCTGCTTTAGTACTATTGTCATAGACTAGAGCATATTGAGTCAGACTACAGTCTGATCTGTAGTAGTGACCACCTCTGTACAAGAATCACTTAAACATTGTGACCTGTTCTGTTGGTTCTGGTTATTTTGTCTGTGCACTGAGCATGAAGATTCCTGCCATGAAAGGCCATCAGTCTAATGTAACAATTTTCTGATAACTTGAATGAAATTGTATATACCGTCTATGGCTTTTGTTATTCTTGAAATGATGTAAGCTTCTGGGACGGCCCCAGTTTGTTAGTGACGAAACAAGACTCTCGAAGTACACAAAAATAACACTTTATTTACATGAAAACAATTAGAAAACACCAAACCCGAGTTTCTATATCTTAACATACGAATGATAACATTCTCTTACTATACCACAAAAATGTAAACACCCTAATGCGTAAAAAAGATCAGCACACTTTGTATCAGCGAATCACGTAACACAAATACTACAGTGTTTGGTTGGTTGCGACTTTATAGCTCTGACTGCGTACTCTCAATGTAGGAAGTATAGTGTTTTTGACACTGAACCGATTGCATTATATACAAGTACATGTATCACCTACTAAAAACCTTGTACTACGTAGTCTTAAAGATAAATACCAATCGCTAGGTTACAAATCTTGCCCGGATGTCTGTCTAAAATGTAGGTTGTATATTTGAAAATTAATAACCTTATTAATACACCGGAAAAAACACCTTAAAAACGGTCGGAAAAAAAACACCTTAAAAACGGTGTATTGTCATCTTTCAAATCCAAGACCAACATGAAAGTGCTTAAGTTCCATTTTTAAAACAAACAGTCACACAAAATCTTTGGTTTAATTTGAGAATAAAAGATCCATCGGCCGTGCCTTTGACGCCGGTGTACTCTAGTCAAACTTGCGGCTTCAGGACGGCGATCGTCCCGCTTGGGATCAGGGAATGGCATGACAGGTTTTGAGCTTAGGGAGGGTCTGCTGAAGCCCCTATTGGAGATAATAGAAATTGATTAAGTATTATACACTTGTCAGTATGTGTCATATAAGCATCTTTTTCAGGTTCATATGTATTCAAATAACAACGCACCTTTGAATCTTACAACTAAAACGTACGTCATTCTATTCTTGACAACTGTCTACATATATGAAAATGTATGAAAAATTAATTCTACAGTCTACAAGTGACCCCTTAAATCGAAAACTCACCCAGATCTACCGATCCCCGTGGAGACACTCCCGGCAAGGTGACGTCCACTTCAGGCATACTGTTGGACCGTGACGCGGCCGAGCTCGGGCGGGACACGGTCAGAACGGACGCCGCCGAGGCACGTCTGGGCACCGCCGTACCCAGCACGGGTGGCAGCACCACGGCCTTCCCCTGCAGGTGATGCGTGTAGCCGGGCGGAACCATCTTCAGCGGCGGCAGAACAGCAGGGGCTGTCATCATCCTCGGTTCCTTCATCTCAATGAAAGACCCGTTGTCGGAGCCTAAACCAGACCCGCTAGGCTTTTCCACTGGGTCTTCGTCTTCGGGTTGAGTCTTCGAAAATGGCCCTGAAATTACAAGACACAGTAAACGCGTTGGTGTGTACATAATATAACGGTCTAAATAAAATATCGTCAATACTTTTAACTGCAGGATGTTTCCAAAAGACATCATGGCTTACCTCGTCGTTTCTTCTTTAAGTAAAAGAAGACACCAATGACACCGGCTGCGATGATGACGACGAACACTACGCCGATGATCGCGCCAACTGGGAAGTCAGCCGGTGGCGCAGCCTGGAAAACGGAGGAACACACATTTATATAGATCATTTTGATTTTGACCAGTAGACATCTGTCTTTTTTGTGGCATCGAGTGAATTAGTATTAACAGAAGCCATGGCCATGCGTGAGTTACGCTACAAGCTTAACTTGCAAACCATGCGTTAATTTGACAAACCATAACTCGTAGACTATTGACGTACCGGTGGACCGGAATCCATGCCGTAGTAGTCCTCCCCATCAACCAACATGGACACCTGTGCTCTGAGAGTGTTTCCTTCTACCACGAGCGTCAGACCGTCTTTCACCTCGTTCCACAGTCCGATCAGGGTGTGGTTCACGCCAGTCGTTGTGCCCGTCATATCAAAGTCGGCAACAACGCTCCCTGGAAAAACGCGTAACAAACATTGAAGGCCAATCCAAAAGGCCGTTGCAAAAAGAAACCTTCGTCAATGAAAATAAAGAAACAAGAAACGAGACATATTCTAAAGGGATATGTCTTAACAATCTAAATATAATGCCTAACAAATACACAAAATATCACGTAGGAACTTTCCATCTGACTCTTACAAGACGCTTGTTCTCGAAACTTTTATCACATACATATCGTTCAAGAAAAAGTCTACTTTGAAGTTTGTGCGTGTATCCATAAAGTCTGTAAAGGTTGGAGTACCTTCCGAGAAGCTGAAGTTTCCGACGGTGACGTCTGTGTACGTGTCCATGATGTGGACCCACAGAGCCGACCCCAGATATCCCTCCTTCCCGGCAGCCACCTGCTGATAGTCACCGCTAAACCGCATGGTCACGTGAGCCGAGTCCTCCTCATCAGGCGTGACGTAATCTGCAGGCCACGCCGTGATTGGCTGGGACTCGACCAAAAAGTCGTAGTCTCCGGGGGTGCTCCTGATGTGGAACTTGAAGTAGTATATGCTGAAGTCGTTTAAGGTCATAGAGTTGAAGGTCGCACGTCCGGTGTTTGGGTCAAAATTGACTGTAGTACTTCCGGTCAGGTCACCGTCCTGAGGGAAGGGCTTGTAGAGTTCAACACTACAAGTCCAGGCATGGTCCTGTAAGATAGATCACAAACGTTTCTTCACATCCTTGAGCTTGCAATGGTAGCTACTGTCAAATCACAAAAAAACAGAACTTTTAATGAGATGACAATTTGTTTAAAGCTTTGACTAACCTTCCATGTGATGTCCTGTATTTCCAGTCCTGACACAGCGTCAGTGATGCCCACAGACATGGTGAACGGTCCGCCCACCGTCAGGTTTTGTGTAATGGAGAATAACGCACCAGACAGGAGACGGTCGGACAAGTAGAGTGGGTCGGACGCCGCTCTGAAGGTCGATGCAGCTTCTGGTGAACCAAAATAAAGTCTTGTCAATAAAACAGAATTCTTCTATTTTGGATAAATATCACTTTGCCAACGTCAGCAAAAATTGCTTCCATATTTCATGATTTTACAAAGAAATATATCTGCTCCACTGAAAAAGCGCATGCCTGGACAAAAAAACAGTGCAGCCCCAATAGTTTTCGATCAATACTGCCAGGCATCTAATTCAACAATGGGTAACTACCATAATAACAATAATGTATTACGTATGGTACTAGACCAGTTTGGAAGACTATCATTAGAGACATTACTTACCAGGTTTGACGATGATAAAATCGATGATATATCCCTGTCCACTGTGAGAGATGGCCAGGTTGGTGAAGTTGGCCCAGCCGTTCTTGAAAACAGCGTTGTCACCAATGATCTGGGCACGAGAGTCACTTCCGCTTCCGGCGCGAACGGTGGCCTGGACCTCCCAACGGGAAGCCACTGTGCCAAGGTTCATCACCAACTCTCCCTGGAAAATGACATTGGGATTTCAAACGATTTGATTTTCTATGGAAAATACCTGTAGCTTTGTTTAACCTGAACCCAGCCAGCACGTTCAACCAGCACAAACAAAATCAGACTACCAAAACCAAAATCAAACTCTCAGAAAAAGCGCTTTATATACAGGATGTCACACTTGTGGAATAACATATGCAACTAGCGAAGTACTGGATTGTATATGGTGAATTGTGTAAAGTTTGTCATGTACTGTTAATTTTGTAATGTTTTGTACGTTTGTAATATATGTATGTAAATATGAATGTGCAGACCACAGGAAGAATAGCCTCTTTTGAGGCTAATTGTGGATCTGAATAAAACTGAAACTGAACTGAACCAAAGGCAGAAGGTCCTAAAGAAAAGTCTACCTTCAGTAAGTACTACGAAGAAACATTTTATGCCAATACCTTTGTTGTCCTAGAGGTTTCCTAAAGTTTATGCTAGGAAGCAAAATCATCACAATATCCATGTAAGATCTATACTTAGAAATTTCAGCGTTACTTACCGAATCATCAAAGACTTGCAGCTTTGGTTGGACGGGGAACTCAGAGCCTTCATGCACCGGCACTGGCTGTGTGTGCAGCTGGAATACACAAGACGTAGATATACATCAACAAATATGGAAAACATTCCATGATGAGAACATCAACCCTCTTCCCACTAAATATCGTACAGTCCCTTACTGAGTAAATTTAGCAGACTAATTATCAAAACACAGAATTCACGTTACTGAATAGGCCCACCTCTATCCTCGCAGGAATTTGAACTTCTGTAGCTTGAGAAAAGGTTTGCGAGTCCTCCTGAGTGACCTCCTCCCACTCCGTGGTGTTGGGGGTCGGCACAGGCTCGATGATGGCCAGACTGGTGATTTGAATGCCAGTATCGTTGCTCAGCGTCCCAAGCTACATTAAGTAGAAACAGAGATATTTGGTTCATATATGTACAGAGCTAGATGTTATAGCTGCTACATAAATAGGTGCTATATATAAAAATAGATGTTGCAGAGATAGAAAGATAGGTGCTATAGGGGAAAATGCTATACAGACTGAATGCTACAGAGTTAGATGTTATGAAGATAGAGATGCTGTAGAGATAGATGATATAGAGGATGTAGAGATATACTACAGATTTTGGTGTTAATTGTTATACAGCTAAATTTCGTTATATATACAGCTACATATACAGGAAATAGCCAAATGTTAAACTTTGAAACTTTATCAAAACAACTTAATGTTACAGTTCTGAGACGGCACAAAAGGCAGAGCCAGCCTTACCTGCATGGCGTCCACCATGGTCGAGGCGGCAACCTGCAGCTCCTCGCGGGTCTGCTCCAATACGCCCATCGCATCGTCATAGTCCTCCACTGGGGGGTCTGTGATCTCCACATCAACATTCATGATTCCTACGCATTGTACATAAACAAACAGGTAAAGAAAATGTGACGCAGGTCTACAAAAACATCAACAAGTTGAAGCTGTATCATTGACACGTACACAGATGTCACCGTGGGAAACGTCAGCTTCTCGGAAGGTACTCCAACTTTTGCAAACTTTATAGACACACATACAAACTTCAGAGTACTACTAGGCTTTTTTCACAAACGATATGTCATAAATACGTTTCCTGACATTATAAACAGCCTTCCCAAACTTAAACGCAGTAATAAAATGGCGTATAGCAAAGACTTGCAATGTTAGCCATAAGGCTTTGGCTGTTGATTCAATCATTGTCGTTACATTTGATTGGCTAACGTTTGATTCTATTATCTTACCCTGCCTCTTCTTTCTCCCACTGTCCTCCCTGACGACGTTCACCACGCGGATTTTCGAGGCGGGGATTTTCAGGTACGCGGCAAGATTGGCGCGCAAATTCACCTCGAAGAAATCATCCACTGTGATGGCCGGCACGCCGAAGGTGACATACAGGACAGGTGAGGTCTGGAAAATACACCAATGTTTTTTAAGGTACAAATATGAAATTTTCAGTTCGTGCAGTTTGTCAGACAGTCGTTTGGCATCTTTACTGAAATAATGTAAAAAGCATTATCCTATGTCATTATCCTGTCAGTGTGTAATGTTACCTTGATGTCTACTGGCTCGCTGCCCTTGATGGTGAGGTACAGTCTCTGCCAGGGTCTGTCGAAGAAGTTAGCTCCGTTGACACCATCCATGGCCGGGTAATACTGGCCTTCTGTTTCCGGCTCCTAGTGAACAAGAACAAAGTACATGTATTATGAAACATTTGAACATGCATATATGATGACCCTGTCAATCAAATGAAAGCCAATCTGCACTCGCTCACTTCGGAACCCAAACATACAAACTCCCCTAAACCAGCGCCGTCCAAAACAATATTTCCGTCCCGGAAGTACTGTAACTATATTTCCAGTCATCTGCTTCAACATTTACATAATTAGACAATACACAGCTGTGTGGCCCGAGGATGTAGAAACGGAGATGGGTGCTGCCTTATTCCCCATAGGGTGTGGAAAAGACTAACACTAACCAGTACAATTAGCTGGCCCGCGTCGTTATAGGCGCCGTTCTCCGGCATGATGTATCTTCCACCCGTGTAGATGTCCAGACGCTGCGGGTTTGCGTAGAAGATTCCCAGCCGCATGGACTGGTCATCCCTTGCGTTCATCAGGTGCAGGCGCAAGTTCTGAGGCGATGTGCCTGTTGTTACATTGAAAACAAGAAATCGGAGATTTCATACCTCCGTGAAATCTCTTGATTCATTCATTATTGTGAAGTTCTCTGCCCAACTCTCTGCATTTTTCACTGCCATCCAGCAAAAAAAAAACTCCTAGCAGTTTATGGGACCTAATTTACTTTGTCTGACCTTTTGTAGTCACTCAAGAAAACACGCAGAAATACACAAGATTATAATTTTGAATATAAGGAGGCTGGGCTTCTCTTGTTCTACAAGTGCAAGACAATCCAGACTAAATGTACAAAATGGGAATTTGCTGAAAACCATAAGAAAGAATGAACACAGAATTGACATTCAATTGCACCGATTTGTCTTATAAGGAATGGTATTGCATGTGCATAAAGTTTTGGTAACGCCTGGCCCGATCCTAAAAAAAATGTTTGTTTCGTACCTGTGAAGTATATATCATAATGTCGGCCGACACCAACAACAGTCCAGAAAGTGGATATGCGCATTTGGCAGGTGTAGCCTGCACACCAGCCATGGTCCTGAGGGCCGTTTTCAAGGTCCACGTACTGCCCCGTGTGCAGGGCTACCGGGGACAACCGCCGCATCTCCGTGTCTCCGTCCATACTTTCGATGATCAGCATCTCGTAGTCGATGTCGTGGCACTCCCAGGCCTGCCAGTAGGACTTGTACGTGCAGCTGTCATCACGAACTATGCCTGTTTTCATTTGAGAAAAAACAGTTGGTCACCGTCGTTCGAACGATGAAAGCAGATCGGTTTTTTTTCAGGGCGATCGTAACACCATTAAAATCGCCCGTGTCGTCGCCAAAATATCAAGAATTCAGATTTCACTGATACAGACACCCTACGTGATACCCCACAATTACCTTTATAGGGGGCAACCTCGTTGATGTCGAGCCTGTGGCCATCCAGATCGGTGAGCATCATCTTGGGGATGCGGTAGTCTCCCAGCCCCCTCCGCGGGTCACCGTCCCACTCGAACTCCGCCTCCGAAATCACAGTCCCCACCGAGCCCAGGAAGGACCCGTCTTCGTCATCGAAGATGACGTTTTTCTTGGCGTCACACTCCATGTCCACACAGTCGGCCGGGTTGATTTTACTGATAAAACACAAAACAATTTAAGTCGCAACGGCCCTGTTGTTCTTCCCGCTGCGTTAGTGTTATCTGATTGGCCAGCCAATCAGATAATCCTCTCCTGTTTTTGGAGGACAGCCAATCACATTATCTCTTGACCTGAAGTGACGATGTGATTGGTTGGTGACGGCTGGCAGGCGCTGACGCAGCGATAATAAAGGAACGCAGGCGGGTATGGCAGGGCCGTTGTTTGACATATACAAGAGGCGGGCCTTGCATGAGACATGTGGGGATGAATCTATTCAAGGCATCAATGAAATTTAATTTTCAATGTGGTAGATGATACTACAATTTGCTTTTCTTCAGAAAAAAAGGAAGTTACGTCATTTCTGATCAGCTTGAAATGTTTGGTACTGGCTTGAAACCTACCCAAGAGATGGGCGATCGAAGAAAACCTTGTTGAAATCTTCCACGTCGTACAGCGTGGTGCCGGCGATCTTTGTGGGATGGATGGCGTCCTCCTGTCCGGGGTTGGTCATCCACACCACATCCTGACCCTTACACGATTCTTTGAAGTGGGAGAAGGTCATACCTAGAAGTAGATCTTGTGTTTTAGATACTGATAATTTCTTTGTACACAAACATTTTTTCCTGCTGTCATTGGGTTGACCATCTGTCGCCTTCCTTAATTGGGCAGATGCTGTATATCGCATTTACATGTGTTTCAAAAAGGCTGTGTCGGCTGTTTTACATTTTAACAGCACGTACATGCTTTTATGTAACTATGCCAGTCAGTGACATGTACACATCAAAACACTTATTCAAACAACTGGATAGATTTGGGAAACTGTCAGACATGTCAGTAATACAGTTATTGTGTTGCCTTCGGCAAATGTTGCAAAGTTTATAGGCCTGAAATTGAACATAATGATGGAAAGATGCTTACCTCTGATGTACGCGGTACCATACAGACTGGGATATCCCTTGCCCCCGTTGAAAGGCTGGATTCGAGCCGCGTTCTGTTTACTGGAAAACGTGCTGGAAAGTAGCCCCACCCTGCCGCCACCGGGTCTGCTAACACCACGTCCCTAAAGAAAGGAACGAAGACATCCTAACATTTAGATCTATAGCTACATATACGGATCTATATTATATACTAGAAAAGTAACATTTGCAAAGCAAATGCATAATGTTTACCTTCGCATGTGGTTTGCTCTGTTAATTCTTACTCAAACACGTGCACATTCACATATATGGTGACAGGAGTCTAAATCCTTCCTAATATAAAATTGCAACATTATGTAACCCAACATCAGTCACCATGGCGAGAGGCTGTCTTTGACTGGGTCAGAGGTCACTGTTTGGAGAAGAAGAAGAAACTGAGCAAAAACAATATGTTTTCCTTCGGTAAACATAATTACACGGCACGATAAGCAACAAGCAAATAAAGACTTTTCTTACAAATCCACCATTTCTGTAGCTCGGATCGGACGGGGTGTAATCGGCTCTGCAGTCGAAGAACGGGCTGGTGCCGACCACGAGTGAGTTCTGCACGGTCACGGTCTTGTGGGTGGTGTCGTGGTTTAGGGACTTGGCGCCGAACAGCATGGTGTACACACCGACCTGTGAATGCGAGGTTCAACGAACATGTTCTTAACTCCTCACTTTAGTTTTCCCAAGAACAAAAGCCTTCACATACAGAACTACTGCAGCATGGAACTCTCAACCACATGGGTTACAAACAATGTCATCACATAAGAAGTTCAAACAAGGCCTACTAAAACACATGAGGGACATTAATAAAGCACATAGCTTTTGAAACGATGCAGTTGATGGTAACAGGTGGCATAGAATGGTAACACTCTATCAGCGAAAAACGTACGTCGTTAAATTATACTTCCTGAAAAAAGGCCAGAAAACAATTGAGAATACTGTACCTGGTTGTCCACAGATACGATATTCTCGACGATAACGTCGTTTATTCCGGACTGGAAGTAGACGCCGTAGTCATGGTTCTTCCAGACGGTGAAGTTGGAGATTTTGCTGCAGGGTTTTAAACCGTCCTCGGGGAACACTGCGACTCCTATCATACAGGAGTGTGCAACGTTGTCGGACCTGGTCAAGACGGGAAGAACGAAACGGATCAGGGGAAGATGCGTGCAGCATTCACAATCAAAACGAAGGAATCCCAAAGTATCTCAGTGCAGAACAACTGTAATACAGGAAAAGCTGGTCTGACTGAATCATGCTTAAAGGAGACCCACTACGATCAGGCTGACAGGCCCTAGTAGCTTGATGTTTAACACCTATGGGAGAAATCCTAATTCTGTAGGCATCCTGTTGATTTATGCATATACAGAGGCCAATCAGCAGGGGCCATGCCCATTACGTGACGTCCTCACCAGTCTTATTGCCAGGGAAGAGGCTACTAATTTAAAAGTAGTGTACTAAAGCTAAAAAGGATGGCATCCTTGCTTGTTACTCTTATTCCTGACTTCTCAACTTCTTACCAGGCCTCAACTGTGCTCCCGCTGCAAGGTTCCCCGTCGACACGGAATCCAACTCTCTGGGAGCCGGCCACGACGTTCCCCACCAGGACAGGACTCAGAGCATCAAACATGTCAAAGGACGGGGTCCACTCAGGCCCGCCCTCGTCTCGGTCTTGGTACCCATCAGGCCAGATTAGCAGCATGGCGAGGTTTCGCCGTACCTTGTTGTCCACTCCCCATATGCGCATGGCTGCCGATACATGAATTTGCGTTAAATGCAAAATAAATAGTGGGGGTTGGAAAGTGTCTAGAAACCTACCCAAACACAGTAACAGTCTATATACAATAGATTGTTACTATATCTGTCAATGGCCTTGCGTGAAACATGCAATTATCGACTTTCCCTTCTGGCTTCCGATCTTGGTCCTCCTAGAGCCTCTCATACTTCATACAACAAGGTACTGTTAACCAACTCTGGACAGAGAAGCGCTCAGACACCCAAAACAATACTTCCGTACCCGAAAGTGATGGATGAACGAAAGAATGAAAGGAGAACGCACCTGGTCCCACAGTATGGTGAATGACGTTGTCCTCTATATCCATGTTCTGTGTCCCAAACACGCCGATGGCGGGAGAGAAGCCGCTGTGGAACGTGTTCCTCCTGATGTAAGACTTCCTGTGATCATCCTGGACTTCTCCTGCGTCCAGGAACGCCAGGGAGTAGCGAGGGTCGTAGAAGTCCGTCCAGCCCTCCTGGCCAGTGTGGTAGAACTCAACGTTCTCGATTCTGGCGTAGCCTGGAGTTAAAATGCAAAAAAAAATATCATTTCAAGGACAAAAGATACAAAAATCAGACGTTCTGTTGCAGTACCAAGGAACGCCGCCAGGTGGACGAAAATTTACCTCGATTCTAGCATAGTCTGCGCTGGTGTGAAATACAAAAAAAAATTCCAGGACAAAAATTTTTTTAATTTAGACGTTCTGTTGCACTACCAAGGAAAGTCGCCAACAGGTCCAAAACCGACCTTGATCATCGTCTTACCAGACCAACCCACAGGCCAAAAATCATAAAAATCAAAACCTTCCTAAGTTATGCTGACCACAGATATCCGGAAAAACAACCAGACTGACACACCCTGAATGCCTTCAGTTTTATGGAGATTACAAACAAGTGAAATACCTCTATATTCAGTGTCCTTCTGCGTAAATGTCCCGACCAGAACCCTTGCTCCAAATGACTCCTCAAACAGGTCGTCATAATCCTCTCCGATGATTTGGACATTCCGGCTGAAAAGTCCGACCTCAGCTGCCATTGTGACAGTCGTCTCACCATCAGCCAAGGTCAGAGTTTCAGCTGAATAAAAAAAAGAGGAAAAAATTATCAAATTAGCGCTTCGCGATTAGACAGGACTCAATATGCGAGGTACAACACGCAAAGAAGCACAAAGCACTAGGTTGTTCATTCAACTATTGAGTATGAAAGTTTTAACGTTTTTAAAGTGGACCTTATTACATTACCAATGGATTCACAGGTGAATTTACAGGCCAGTTAAAGCACTATGAAAGTATTTGTTTTAATAATGCACTGAGGTTTATTGTTTATTGCACTGGTATTTGTGACGTCAATGCAAGGGGACAAATGTTGTTAGAAGTCTAAATCGCCCCCCGTCCCGGTTGAGAGAAGGTTGATGCGTTGTTCAACGGTGTGATTTTAACAGCAACTCAGATAGACTTTCATAAAGGAAAGAAAATGTTGCGCACCCATGTGTCTGTAGGCCAGTGTCCCGTTCAGTGTGAGTGTTGTCATGTCTTCTGACACGCTGACGATCTTGAACGTTTCTGTCTGCCAGACGTCAAAGGTGGTCGTTGCTATGGCGATGTCGTCACCCGCCACCCAGTCCACGGCCTTCACCAGTGTAACGGTGCTGTCACCGACGTTACCGGTCTGGGCCAGACGGGTGAAGGTCACCACACGGTTTTTACCGTGGATGTCACAGCCACCAAAACAGCCTGTATGGAGACAACAGCAAAACTGTCACTATATAATAAAAGAAAGTGTACGCATTGGCCGCTTCTCACTCAGATGCTAATTTGCTGGGTGATTTTAATTGCCGCTTTCTTCACAGAAATTCCCTAACAGCAACATGTAGTAGTTCATGAATGTTGCATTTCTATTGGTAATTCATATATAGTCAAGATGGGAGTACAGACTGGGCAAACGTCAACTTCAACAAGTACATGTAGTTACATTTCTAGATCACTGCTACAAAACTGTACCTGTGCAAAGCCAAAACTGTTGTGCATTTTCAATGTCTGATATACAAAAATAACTACATGAAAGATGGAACATTTTACCAATTTTAGCGATGAAATATCAACTACAAACCGAGAGCTTTGGCTCCTAGATTGGGACCGTTCGGTAGTGGCATGTCTGGGGTAAGGTGATTCCCCCTGAGTATTATACGAGCCATCCCTTGGAATGGGTTGTCCTCCCAGCCGATGATCAAACGGCCACCCTTGAATGCAAAAAAAAGTACAGTTCTTTATTGTGATGAATTATAAAAATGACAGGAAAACGAATTGTTAAGAATAGTACCAAAGGACATTACTATCATTAGATACTAATGATATAATGATATGAGCTCAGAATGGAAACTGCGCGTTTAACAATTGTAATGGTCGAGTATCGTCACCCAAACAGTTTGCGGTGATTTAAGAGTACATCTGCTAACAAACCTGCACTAGAATTTGAACAGCACTAAAGACGTAGTTCTTGTCAGGTCCGTCGTCCAGCTCCAGAACGCCGTAGATGAAGAGTTTGTTCAGCGATATCCGCTCAACATCTGCCACAATCCACTTGTCTGGAACGGTCGTTTTTACCGCGAGTTAAAGATTGGGACAAACATGGATTATTATGGTCACTTTTTTTTCAATTGGCCATCATACCAGTCTGTCTATCAGTCATAGTGAAATGGCGAATTGCCTCTCCTACGCGAGCTGAGTACATTTCCATCTATTTTATCAAAACTCGGGTACAGACACCCTACAAACAGTACTTAATCTGTTTTGAACCCCTAAAGTGGCTAAAGGGTATATCAATAACTAATAGGCCTTCTAAGCATGATAATTTTGTAACGACTTAAATTTGTCCTTTCCTCTTCAACATATAATATTCTGGAAAAACTCGGAAACTTACCAGGAGGAATCCTGACGTCATCGCCCTCCCTGGGGGGTCCGTACACCTGCCGTTTCCTCCGCCCGTCGCCATAGTTACCGCCCCACCCAGCCTCCGTGCCCTCCCAGGTCGCCGGGTTCGACCATCGCTCAAAGTCCTCCGGACGTTCCGTGGCCAGGTGGTAGTCCACAGTCTCTACCCCTGGTGCAAGAGTTGGCACCGGGGGGGGATACAGTCCTTGAAGTAGCACCGGTACACCTTTAGCTGCACGGCCCGGTCGACGTACGACGTCGGCACGGCGGAACGCTTCTCCCTTGACGCAGTCTTTCCGGAAACTGTGAATACCAAAAAATGTTAACTTAAGGGTATAGGAGGGAACAACTTAACAACATCCTTTTATATCTATGTAACATTCAATGATTATTCAAAGGATAGTAAGTTTGAGACATTTGTAGCACAATGACTGTAAAGCCTTTAAAACACTTTAACAAAGTTGATGTTTTGGGGATCAATCAAACTTAAGACTTCGTCTTTTAACATCTTCAAGAAGTAACAGTACACGTATACTCTGTAGTCTAGCGTTATGAAAGGTCGTATGTATTCCTAACGCAAATAAAAGTGTCGTTTTAAAAATAAATGTACATGGCAGTGTATGCAACACAATTAAATCATTATGACAAAAAGGCTAAACGAAAGGCTGATGAAGTATACCAACACAGATAAACACTCATGCTAACAATGACATCATGACGAACATACTCAGATAACTGAAGTATTTTGTTGAGTTGTCGAAGTAATAGTCTCCGTGTTCGTTGTCTTCGTAGGTGAGCGGGTGGAGGGAAGCGTTTCTGTCGTCTCCGGGGATGATGGCAAACTTGTCTGGCGATTGGGTGAGGTTGTGGTACACTATGACGTACTGGTCTTCCTGTGCGGACAGAATGCAGTAAAAACGAGAAATTAAATCATAAAGAAAAGAACATAATAAAATGCTTTACGACTCATATGGCTGCACGAACGAGACTTGTTCAGGTATCACACCATATATGGTTAATTACTTAGTAATATGTTTCATACATTCCTGGCTATCACATCCATGCATACAAACCAGCACAACTATACTATCTACAACGGACATACCTACGACTTAAAGATCGTGACCATTGCATGTTTAAAGTGCGAGATACAAAAGTGTTGCTGCAGTACCAGAAAAGCCACCAGGGGGCCAAAATCTATACACGCTTTGCAATTTCTAGGTCAAGACCTAATACCAAATGCACAATTATGGCAAAGTTTCAGAGAGTTGTGATATTTTCTCCGACTCACGGGTATTTGGTAGTAGACTCCGCTGTACGATATATTAGTTATGTGGTCGGCGTTCTCCCAGAAAATGTTGTGTGTGCCTCCAGATTGCAACGTAGTCATCCACGCTCTCATGTGGGAAACACGTTTGGCCCTGTTGATATAAAAACATATTTATCATTATTTCTAATGAACTGCTATAATTATAACATCCAATATGTGACAGAAAAAACATCCCTCAACAGAGACGGGGGGCGCTGCAGACTTTCTGCAACCTATGATCCACTGCTCACCGAGTCACGCGTTATCTGCGTGACGTCACAGAAGCGGTAGATTGCTCATTCCTTGACTGGAGTTGTACAGTAGAAAATTTGGATAAGTCCAATTAATTTATTGTGTTGTCAATTGCAGTTTGTGTTTCATAATCACAATGGCATATTCGTATTATATTTTATTGTGGAAGATATGACACGGATTTTACCTGAAGGGAATGACACTAGTTCCGTATATGGACGACGCCATGACATTTTTGCCGTTCAGGGAGTCGGGGAGTGCTCCGGTCCAGGAGAAGCGGATGAAGTCGACGGATGGGTCACACACCACTCCGGGATGGCCCCCGCTGAACGCTGGGTCCTCTTCACACTCCGGGGGGAGGGCAGGGTTATATGGGGTCACCTGAAGGTCAGGTGTACAAAACAACGATTATACATAGGTTTTACAATATCTGATGTGTTATTGGTTTCAGGGAGACATTTATAGACACGAAGGCCACGGTTTACCACACACACTACGTCAAAAAATATATCTGTTTGAGAAAGAAGCATATGCGTTAAAACCATGCGTCATTTTATGTTGGCAAATGATTTTAGACCAGCATTGGATGTAGAATGGTAATATTCTACATCTACATACAAGAAGTAATATTGCCTTTCTGGTTCCTTTTATCATGTGCGTGTACTGATGAAATAAGGAATCGTGGGCAATTTCACCTTCAAAGAGGCAAAAAGACCTTAAACGGATCGCTTGTTATCATTCTTTGAAGAATACTATAGAATCTGTAAGACCCGAAAGCACCAGGTATCCATATATTTATATGTAAAGCACACGTACCCTGGCTCCAACAGTACCACTCAATGACCCATCCAAGTCGTGGAACACTGCTTGGTGTTCCCACTGAAAGACGATTTTGTTGGGAGAGTCATAAAAGCGTAGGTCGGTCGTACGGTAGTACCAACCGCCGAAATTAGGTCCACCTGCAAGGGACGAAACGGTCTTAGTAATTATAGTTTCCTGCGTGTTCATATATCTAAGTGTGTGCGTGTGTGTGTATGGGTGAGTGTGTGTGTGTGTGTGTGTGTGTGTGTGTCTGTGTCTGTGTGCGCGCGCGCGCGTGTGTGTATCCCCAAAGCTAGTCACTAGGATATTCTCGGTCGCGTTTGAAAAACAGTGCCGTGAGAGCGCTCATGAGCGCCGTCACCTCGGCGATGGTAAGGAACCGCGTCATACCATCGCCATGAGAGCGCCGAGGACGGCGATGCAACAATGAGCGACGTGAGAGCGCGAAGCAAGCGTCATGAGAGCGCGCAACTGTCCCAACATTAATTTAGATATACTGCCGCTAAGTGGCATGGGGGCCTAACCATCGCTGACCATAGCGTTCATGCCACTCTCATCGCCCTCCCGTGGCGATGTTGGCGCTCTCTCCACGCTCTGGCCAATTTGAGGTCGCGGAGAGAGCGGCCTGAGAGCGCCGTCTAAATGTAATGGGGGTATTAAGAATCGCCGTCCACAGTCAACTTTTATGAATATTTAGTCCTATTTATTTTATAATCGTATACCATATTAATCATAGAACATAATTACAGTACCTCCTGCCCCTATAGACATGGCTGTACAGCTGCGATCATGGTTGATGAAGGTGGTCCCGTTGACAGTCATCCTCGGCGAATAGGGCAGGGCGATGCCGTTCTGCTGACAGTGGGTGCCTGAGGGGTATGTTTCGTTCAGGGCATCAAGGTGACCAATCACGTAACCGTTCTTGATCACAGCTCCAAATTCCTCTCCCCATTCAGTGCCGCCAATGCCCTTTATATCTATCCCTATCTCATCGTTGCTAGCCATGACGAAGTCGACGAACTGGAGGGCCCCGCCGTTGACCCACTCCGCTCCCTTGTGGTTGTTCCAGGCGGTCAGCTTGTAGAACTTAGCGGGTTCCGGTCTTCCTCCGCCGCAGGCCCCGTTTTCTGTGGGGAAGTAGTTCTCGAAGATCCAGATCCCGTACCAACCTTGGGAATGGACGGTGTTGTTGTAGAACTCCCCGAGTGGGATCTTGTCCGGGCAGATGCTTGGGTCGAAGGACGGGCCGTCGGGGTGTGCGTGCATGCGGTACCAGAAGCCGAAATGCGTGCCGCCTGCTGCGTGGTTGTGTCGGATGATGTTGTTCGGGCTTGTTACCCAGAATGCGGCAGGGGTGATGTCGTCATTCAGCAAACTTGTACTGTAATGTCGTTTGCGATATCTTATTAACTCCTGATACATAATAACATTCATTGATTACCTATCCTTAATCAGAAGTCAATACATTTGGATAAGGCATTCAAATGCCCAATTTACATACATCTGATTGAGCAGTATGTAAATGTTTTACATCCGGGACGGAAGTATTGTTTTGTGTGGCGCTAGTTTAGGGAGTGTTTGGATTCAGAAGTGAGTGGGCAGAGATTGGGTTTCACTTCAATGACAGGAGTTTGAGTCGAATGTGCTCTGAGTTCAAAGTTGTGGTCTTCAGGAATGTATCAAACATAAACCATGGTGTAACAGCAATCGCAAGAGTAGTAATGCATTTTATGTCGTAATTCATTGACGCAAACTATATCTACTTCAGATTGATTGTTATCGAGATTATGATGTTCTTACCTTGATTTGACGAAAACAGCCAAGTTGTACTGGATTTTGTTGTCCTGCTCAATGCCATCCTCCAGGAAGAAGGAACCTCCCATGATGTTGTAGATGACGTTACGTTCTACCGTGAGGTTGTGTGAGTTGTGCATGTTCACGGCGCGGTTGAAGCTCTTGTGTATGGAGCAGCCTTTTACATATGATTCAGGCATGTCGCCATTCAGGTGAAAGTGGATAGCGTATCTGTAATAAGTGTCAGTGAGTTATTACAAAGCTAGCATCTGACAAGGCCTTTCAGAACATGGGTAAAAAAATTACGTACAACTATGAAAGGGTGACAGCGCCACGGAAACAAACCTGCAGTGGGTGTCACTGGAAGACAGAAGAATAATGTCCAGACCAGCAATATGCTAAGTATATACCAGTTCAGAAAAGTACAAGAAAAACTAATGCCTACAAGTACCAGAGTTATCAACCAAGGATTCAGAAGTGAAACTCGCTTCCACCAAGCAATTCAAAGCGACTACATACTATCCGGGCTAACTCTGACGACTCAGCTTTGTGCCTTTTGTTTGGGACCATTCTAGAAGAATATTGCCTTTTTAGAATTTTTCAATCCTAGTGATATTTGAAGTGGTCCCTACCTGCCATGTCTGTAGGCCTGACCAGCGTGAGTGACCTCTATGTGTGAAAACCTGCCCACCACTAAGCCCTTGTTCATCTCCCTTCCGTGGAGCATGATCTGCGAACCGAACTCGTCCGTCCCGACTTCGTCACCGAACCGGCCCTGGAAACACGTCTGGGTGGCAAACTCCCCTGTGGGAGGTACAACATGCAGTTATGTACAAACATGTATTTCTTTGGTCTGGGTGCCAAAGAAATACATCATTCTGCAACACTACTTTCCTTGTATCAACCAATATTGAACTATATGAAGCTGGTGTGTTACGCCGAAGGGCGGTTATACCGGCTAAACCGATACAGATATCTACCTGGTACGTACTAGTACCCTGTAGCATCCCTGTCATCCTGAATGATATCGATGAAGTAAAGTAGCTGTTTCCGTTTTAATTGGGTATGCCAAAATCAAGAAAAGGGATGAAACTATACAGGAAAGACAAGAGTTTTCTTAACTATTTTTTTGGGTAACTTTTTGACGTTATCTAGACATAGACAAATGGACGAGTACAGAAAAAGGATGTATCAAGAAACCCACATCGCTGTTGCCGCTATAAACCTTAAGATAGACAACAGACACATAGGGAACAAATTTGTGTTTTGAGTAGCAATAAATGCCAAAAAATGCAGAAAAGGAGTTATTAAAGATTGAATGGATAGATGGTAGCTTTGTTTGTTTGCTTTACCAGTATTAAACCCGGCAGGACAGGCAGCAATGTCGTCGTTCCACTCCGCGTTGTTCGATCCGCGGACGACGACGTTATGGGTGAGCAGCCCGACCTCGCAGCGGGTCTCCAGGGTCACGCCTGCGTCAGCAAACGTCGTGACTGCCGAGATGTGCCGGTACTGCAGCCCCTCGGTGATCGTCAGTGTCCTGCCGTCATCTGACACTGAAGCGATAGTCCGTACCTACGACAGGGTAACAATCAAACACCGTGTGTAAAATCTTTTTAACCCCCGGGGAAAAGGAAAGAGTGGCGATGAATACATGGAGGAGGGACCTCGAAGCTGATGTGAAGGCATCTGCACACATGCAGCTGGTAGAGAGGGCCGGGGACTGCACCAGATGGAGGGACCTAGTCCGTGGCCTGTGCCCAAGGATGGGCAGTAGACCTAAGTGAAGAAAGTAAAATCTTTGATATGCAGTACACACTCGATAGCCAGTACAGCTACGGAAGTTGCTCTTTCCTCCTCTCTGTAAGAGCTCGAGGGCAAGATCTAACCACCGAACCATTCCCATGGATGGCTTCGGAATCTTCAACTTGAGAAAGGTGTCCGCTTCTTATAAAAAAAGAAGACATTGAATTTCTCTGGTAAAAACAAATCACATTTTAGCACATACTAGTAGCTCTGTGAACAATATGCTGCTGTCATACCTCGTTTTGTCTCTGTGTGTGCCTGTGTCCGGTGGTGGCGAGGACAATCTGGTCGCCCACTTCCCAGTTGACGGGCTGAGTCAGGGTCAAGGAGGTGTCACTGGGAGACACGGTCTCCGCCAGGAATGTCCAGGTGATAGGCGTGGGTCTCCCTGTGAACATACCAAAATTTAGATTAGGTACAGTCTTATGATACAAGCGTAACCTATGTTAAGCATGAAAGTGCACCATACAAAGACACATTTATGTTCAATAGGACACGGTAGCAAATGGTTATTAGCTTTACAGATCTTCGTCATGGTGTTAACTTTTCCCTTCACTTTTCCAAACGTCTTCCACGTTAACCTTAATAATATGCTAGATCAGGAAACTATCAAAACACAATGCCAACAATTTTCTGCTATGAAATATCTATATACTCCATACCATGTAGGTCCAGCGTGCCTTCCCTCACACCCAGTGTCTTGGCTCCGTACAGCGGCAGTTCAGGTGACCTGACGTGACCGTGCATTGTGATGATGGCCTTATGTTGGAATGGCTCCTCTTCTGTACCAACCTAGGGACAAGACAAGACTTTATCAATCCTCTCCACTACACTCACAATTACCATCTATCGAGGCGCATAGCACCGATGAGTTATAAGTATGTCACTCTATTTGTTTTTGTTTCCTATGAGGCTATTTACACCAGGAACCATCATATCACGTTAAACCGGGACGGCGGGAGGTATCGACTTTAAGAGACCTTTGACCCACTACTGGCGTCACGCACCCCAAAGATCAGTGCGCGTCAGGAATAAGGTTAAAATTCTTGATGAAGAGCAATAGACACAGTCAAATTCCTTTGAGTTGAATTACGGTTTAACGAACGTTTAGTTCCATTGTTTCCTTGTTTGTTGATACACGAAAATGTCATGAAAACATTATCTATATATTTCTGAGTAAAATTTTCCCTCAGCTAAAGTGATTCAATCTCTAGCTCACCTGTAGAAGTCCTCCGTTTGTGATGAGGGCATACTCTGCCTGAAGCTCCAGGTCCTGCTCATCAAATATCAGCTCACCGCCTGCGTACATGGACGGAAGTGTTAATATATTTTACTTAAGCTTGGAGACTTAAAACGTTGACATATAAATTAATGATTTTGTATGATACAATAGACAGTTCACCTTCTATCAGCAACACCTTCAGGACTGGTGTGTCCGTGTCCAGCAGCAGGGTCTGTCCCGCCGGGACAATGACAAAATCCCCCGCCTCTGGGAGAGGTCCGCCTCCCCAGGTAAACACGGAGGACCAGCGGTCGATGTACCAGTAATCTGCGGCATCCTGGGTCAGAGAAAAGTGTGACAATCAGAGACAGTGATCATTCGTCAATGCAATCATTATATGGTTTTACCACATTTCGACGGTGCTTCACACAAAGGTTATTAAAAAAGCTGTGCTTCTGCTAAAAGAATATCGTTGTTTTACCTGCGTTGCGATTCCATGATCGCCAACAGCAACCCTGACTTTGGTTTTTGCCGACCCTTGATGAGCTTCCGTCACGCACACGATCTGTGTAGTCGACGCCGTTTGGATGATGCATTCACTCCCGGCAATGGTCACGCTATTGTCTGCATCCGTTGCCCTTTGGTAAGAAAGTATCTGGTTATTACATGTGGCGCTTTGCAAGCTATGAGAGTTCTATGGCTAGATGTGTTTACATTTAGATCGTTGTATATTTTTTTGCTGTTTTCTGCTGACGTACATACCCGAAGCCGGTTCCCGTGATGGTGACCGTTGTTCCGCCGGCAGTTCCCCCGCGCCTGGGGGACACCTCGGTGATGACCGGAGTTAAGCTGCTCCTGTAGGTGTAGGCGGCGTTCTGTTGGACACTTTCCGCTCCGACAGACACCGTCACGTCGCAGACCAGAGTTCCAGAGGACAGACCTGCACAAAATAAATCTCACATCTACAATCATGCTAACTTATTACTTCCGGGGCGGAAGTATTGTTTTGGGTAGCTTTAGGGTGGTTGTTTGCTTGGGTTCTGGGGTTAGACAGATGGTGTAAAAGTCATGTAAGTTAGGCCATACAAGCTTATAGACATGAATACACGTAGATTGGGTTTACGTTGTTTGACAATGTTGTGACCACTGTGAACAGGAAATTTGTCTTTCGTTCCTTCCATTCCCTCTACGATGTGACCACGGGGTATATCGGGAGGTGAAAGAACGATGCCCTTACCTTCATTTGCGGGTACGTTACAGGTAAGCTGGCTAGGCTGGGGCGCTGCCGTCGGTTCGCAGGTCTGGCCACAAACGGTGACGACGGTCAGCTCAGCGTCAAACCCTGTCCCGACTATGGTCAACACCTGACCGCCTCCAAAGCTTCCTGTTTGAAACAAAGTTGATAATCATTACTGGTCCATTTGAGTTGTCCGATTAATTACGAAGACGGTCCCGTATATATCCCTGTTTGGATTTTCATTGCGCTCGACCGCCAGGATTCCAATGTGCTGCCGTTTAGATTTCAATATATAACACAAGTTTTTATGTTACAGTACAGTACATTTGATGACGTACCTTCCGTAGGAGACATGGAGTCCACTGTCAACTGATACTCGAACTCCAGAGATGACGTAGCCCATCCTTTACCAGCTATGAAGACCTCGACGCTGTAAGTACCCGCGGAGTGAGCGCCAACCGTGCACTCAAGCTGCGTACTGGACAGGGTCGTTATGCTGAAATAGAGCAAAAATGTTTTTGGTGACGTCTCAGGGACGTCCTAACGGTACAGTATGTGTGCAGTTCGCAAGAATTCTAGGAATTGTACATGGATTTTGTCTAAATGCATGGCATGTCCACATGAAAAAGGAGAGCTCGTCGAATCTCCAAGCAGACATCGGTACGGCATGGAAGATTATAACGTTTCTGACTTGGTCTTCTCTAACATCCAGATTTGCACAAACCTGCAATCCGTGCCGTTGATAGTCACCGTGACGTCATCAGCCACGTCACCGAAGCCGTTCCCGGTGATGGTGACGGAGTCTCCGGTTTTCCCCGCGGAAGGTGACACAGAGAGAGCCTGGGCGGTGTGATCCGCCGAGTAGCTGTACTGTTGCTCAGGGTACTGAACACCGTCGGATGTCACAAGCAGCGGCACCTGTCCTGCAACTCCGGCAGGTGCTACACAGTCGATCTGCAGACGTGTGATGTCACGGATGTCACATGACTCTCCGCCAATCAGAACAGCCGTGTTGCCGGGTACGAATCCGTTCCCTGTTATGGTTACCGTGTTCCCGCCGTTGACGCTGCCCTCCGACGGTGTTACGTCATCGATAGTGGCCAAACTTTCCACTGACGTCACGTCGGAATCCGCTGTCCCTTTACCGTGTACGTGTACCGAGAAGGACTTCACTCCAACCCGCACAGGGCCAAGGTCACACTCGATATAATCGTCAGCGATGGTGGTGATGCTACATTGAACGTCATCCTCGTCTACAGAAACGGCAACCTCTGCGGGATCAGCTCCGAAGAGGGAGCCATTGATGGCCAGCTGTGTGACGGCTCCTGATACTTCTCTAGGCTGGACGTCTGTAACCGTAGGCGTGGCAGACTCCGAGTAGGTGAAAGCACAGTCGCCGGAGGAACATCCGATATCTACTGGTCCACCGCTTGTTGACATGACGATGGCGATGCCCCTCTCGATATCACTGCTTGCTTCCCGTTTGTTCTGCCTGATGGGCGGAGTTTCGCAGACGATCTGGTTGTACGTGAGTTCGACGATCTGGCATTTCAAGGCGCCGATCCTGATGTCGATGTCCGAGGCGTCTATCCCGGGGGAGGTGAAGCCGTACCCTGTGATGGTGACGAGGGTGCCGCCCACCATGGAGCCCACATCAGGCGAGATGGAGTCGACGTTTGGCAGGAGGACGAAGCTTCTCTCCTCCACGGTCAGGGGCGAGTTGAGACCGTCTCCTCTGTTGTCGACTGTCAGCCCCATGTTATTGTAAGTAGCGACAGGCATGTCGACCTGGTGGTCGATAGTACAGGACAAGGAGTCGGCTGTGACCAGCTGACACGAACACGGGTACCCTCCCACCGTCACCTTGTTCATACAGCTGTCTGAGCCGAGTCCTGACGCATTGACCGTGATGACGTCACGCATGGTGCCAGATAAGGGGCTGATGGAGGTGATCCGAGGGGTGCGGCAAGGGTCAAAGGTGAAGTGGAACTTGTCATCCCCTGAGGGAGCCTGTGGGGCTGAAGATGTGCACTCTGATATCTGACTTGTCTCACCTGCACACGCAGTACTGTCTACAGGATCGGCAACACCTGAGGTATCAAGACATATAAGGGATTCCGATATAAACCTAGTTGTTTTGATTGAACTCTAAATCAAGAATAGGCATCAACACTTCAGTTTGATTTCTTTACTTTCTCCTCGTACTCATCTCTATTTCGTTCCTTTTTACTAATTCCATCTAGATCTCTGGTCTAGTGAATGTAGGAATTTAATTGTCGAAAAAATACCCAATTTCACTATAGCTACCCAAAGCACTTACCAGATGCCTGAAATCTCAGATTCCTGTAAGTAATATATGGTTTCAGGTATTGACCAACCTGAGTTGACGTCGTATTCCGCCTCGTAGCCATTGACAGCCAGGCTTAACTGTTGTACACTGCCAGAATATGGCACCACGTTCACGACTCCCTTCATCTTCACATTTCCATTCCGGTCCACAGGTCCACTGGAGTAGAAGTACAGGCCTTCTCCGGTGAAGACGTGCTCGAACTCACCTGGAAACAGTCAGGGAAAAAGTCGTAAATCAGCTGCTGCACAAACAGTAAATATGAATATTTTAGCATAATTTCAAATAAATACCGACTGTTGAACAGAGTACATATGTGGTAGTTATATGTTTAGAATATAATGCAAACAAGCGTTGACACGAAATATGGAGCTTTTTATGTTTACCGAAGGGAAACATATTGGTTTTGCTCTGTTTCTTCTGTTCCAAAGAAATGAGGTCAATGACCTGAACCAGACGTCTGTCACCATGGTAACTAGTGTTGGGTTACATCATGTTGCCAATTTATTACAGGAGGGATTTAGACTTCTGCTGTCTGACCAAATAGATCAATGTGTTTGAGTAAGAATTAACAGAGCTGAAAACGAAAAAAGGACCCCTTACTTTAAAATGTACTTTGATAGCCCTTAGTTACCCCTAAATAAATTTCGACCCGTTTTTATCACAGAAATGACGTCGACGTGTCAAATTGCAACGAACACGGAAGGAAACTCCGGTCCGAGACCTTCTAGTGGTATATTGTATCAATCCAAAGAATGAAAGATGGAAAATATTAGCTAACCCGAAGGTGTTTTCACAGTCCCACTCCTGAATCCTTGCCCGCCGTAATCTGTGCTGCTGGCGCTCGCTGTCTGCTGCACCAGGTAACCCACCCCTACAGCGGTACTGGGCGTGTTCCATCGCCAGCGTACTGTATCGCCAGGACGTACGTCCAACGGCGTGTGGCTCCAGGCGTACCCTCGACCGTAAGCTGTTGGAATACGATAGATGAAATTGCTTCAAACGCATTTACATTTGCGATGGTTTTATATCGAGATTTTGTGTTTGAACTTGCGGTCGAAACGATTCTGTAGTACAATACTATGAAACGCATATTTGCAACGTCCTGATTTCGCAGAAAGAGCTCACTGAAAAAAAACAATAAAACCAATGTTATGTTCCTATGTTTTCATTAAACACGCCTCTCGTTCTCTACGAATATATTGAAAGGGGCTGCAAATGCCAGGAAGTATTACTTTGTATATATTTTCACTTTGCTTTCGTGCAGATCACGCGAAATCGCGATAGACTGTACTCTCGCGGGAGCACTTTTTTAAAATGGCCGCGGGAACTGGAAATGGGTTTATTGCTGAAGAAGGCCAAGGTTAAAAACATTGATTGATAACATCACTCACTTGAATGTGTACCCATGTTGTCGACTTCGTGTACTTTTGCTGACGTAGCGGTGATACACTCGATTTGTGTGGAGGTGGCAGACGTGACGTCACAGCTGACGTCACCAAACGTCACGGTCGTGTTGTCGGTACTGAAGCCCTCCCCAGCGATGATGACGCGGGTGCCTCCAAGTAAGGACCCTGACCTTGGGACGACGTTGGTGACCTTGAGTGAATACCGGATATCCGGTATACTGTGCGTCCTAAAGAATAAAAGGTTAGACTTCATGAAAGTGTACAAACCAGTTTTAACTTCTACAGATTTCGTTTTTACTTTAGTAGACATATCAAGACAGCCAAATAACAAAGAGTTTGGCGATACATTATAACATCATATGATGTATGAATGTTTTGTGTCAGTATCATATATTTAACTTTTATAACAAATATACCCTGTGTAAAATCAACAGTTCAAAAATGGCTAAAAGATATTGTTATTGCTAGTCAGTTATTTTTCGGAAATAACATGCTAGGAAATGCCAGCAAAGTGTTCTTTTATATAATATATGATCCATTCTAGAAAAATTACGAATGTACACATAATTTTTGCATTGTTTTCTTGCAGCACATTGATATTGGACAAAGTACTTCTAGTACTTACTCGACATCAGCAAACCCGCTTCCGCCCACGCACAGCCTGACGGGATACAATCCGGGACCTTGCGCGGGCAGGCTGATGGTGACCTCCGTGTCGCTGTAGGACAGAATCTCTGCCGCGGCGTCTCCTATTTTCACCGCGTCATCACAAGAAGCTGCGGCCCCGAAATTGGATCCTGAGATCACGACGACATCGCCTCCTACAGTAAGAAAATAGGAACGGACGATTTAACCTCAGAATTTTCATTGGATAATGCATGTCTACTGATATACTCAGTGTTACATAGTTGAACCATGTACCCTCCTCCTCAATTGCAACTTATCAACTATACATGGGATGTATTACTAACATCAAACTACTAGCTTGTCGTTACTACGGTGTGTCGTTTATACTGTGCAGCTATCTAGTGAGATTGAATATTCTATCGAAACGTTGTGAGTAAAAATGACAACAGGTGCATTGTGTACCGTCCACAGTGCCGGTGGTGGAGCTGAGTGAGGTGATGGTGGGAGTCAGAGAGGCGTCGTACGTGTAATCTGTCGGACTGGCCAGGGTCTGGTTGTCACCCTGGCTGACTGTAACCTGCACTGCCCCGGCTGTGGACTGTAGGTCATGGTAAAAATGCATGCGGTAACCCGTTACCATGCTATACGCAATTATCACATAGCCACTCACGCATTAACGTTCGCTTCGTCTTGCTCTTCTTGCATTTATACCATTCCATTTCGTCCAATCAATGTGTTGTTATACACGTAGGATGCACCAATGTAAAACAATGCATATGATAACATTGGTCATCTCATACCATGATAAAACAGGATGGATAGGATATACTGCCCGTGTGACTAAACCAACCAACAGAATTAGAGAAGGGTCTTAAATTATGAACTAGAAACGTAACATTTGCAAAGCAAATGCATAACGCTTACCTTCGCATATGGTTTGCTCTGTTAATTCTTACTCAAACACATTCATATATGTGGTCAGACAGGAGTTTAAATCCTTCCTGCTATAAAATTGCAACATGATGTAACCCAACACTTGTTACCATGGTGACAGACGTCTGGTTCAGGTCATTGACCTTATTTGTTTTTAAGAAGAGGAAGAAACAGAGCAAAAAAAAGATAAATAGATAACGTGGGGATGAATTACTTACAGAAGAGGGTGCTGTGCAGGTGATGTCGGTGTAAGTGATGTTAGTCACCGCACACTCCTGGTCCCCAACATAAGGAACATAGGCGTGTCCAAACCCGTGACCGCTGATGGTTAACACCGTTCCTCCTACAAACAAGGAATAGGAGATATCAGACCTTTGGTATCTCTGAACATATTGGAACTGTATTGTATGACCATAGAATAGATTATCATGCGATTTTATGACGTAACGTACTCCTGTATTACACCATGGTTTATGTTTTATACCATGACAACACAGTACACATTCCTGGCGACCCCATACCCAGGGCATACCAACCCTTCCAATCAATGTGCGACTAAACCCAATCTCCACCCGCTCACTTCAAATCCTCGCTGCTCAGGAGGAGATACATAAAAACTCCCATCAAAGCAGTGCCACCCAAAACAATACTTCAATCCCGGAAGTAATAGGGCAAATGATGTTTGGTATATACAAAGGTAATAAAACACTAACTCACCACCTAGACTTCCTGCCGTCGGACTGATACCCGAAATGTCAGCGGTGTAAGTGAACACAAGTTCCCCATCAGCAGGGTGGCTGGCCAAACCCTTCCCGTCAACCTCCACGGTAACCACGTGACTCCCGCCCGAGTTCTCCTGCACGTCACACGAGATCTCGTCTTCCGTTGCCGCGGTGATCTCGCAGGCCACGCCCCCGATCGTCACTGTGTTGTTGTCGGTGCTAGGTAGGAATCCACTCCCGGATATAGTGATTGAAGTTCCTGCGTAGTAAGAGCCTTGGCGAAAAGAGTAGGAATGATTTCTACATTGATTTCTATATAACCATTGATAATACGGAATGAAATACAAAATGAAATTATGTTATACATGTATAGGTTTAGTTTGTTTTTCTCTGGTGTAATATGATGTGATATTTGTATTTCGTGTTCTTAGAATCAGGCTATATATTTCTTGATAAGTCTCAGCGTATCCTAAAACGTAGATTTGCGCCAGGCATGGTACCTTCTGACGGGGTGACACCGTTGACACTAGGCGTGCTGTCGGCGCTCCACTCGAACGTGCAGTTTCCCGCACAGGCTGACGGGACGTGGTTGATGGTCACCTGCACCTGCGGCTTGTCGTGTACCGTCCTGAGGAACTCGTCTCTGATGGTCATAAAGAGTCCGCCCTCTCTGGTCTTCCTCACGGTGGCCACAGGGTCTTCACCAGTCACGTCAGCTATGTCTGCCTGTGTGGTCGGATATTGTGATGACAGAAATTAGTTCTCAATAGCAACCATAACAAGAAATTGAAGATTTCATCATCAGACTCCCAGATAGTTTGCAATTTTCTTGCTTCCTGAATTTCGAATTCCCCATGTCGACCACTAATTTCTATGTGTCACTTAAGATAAATTCTGCTCAGACTAAGGGTTTCACTTTCTGTGCCTGTTCTGTCAATGTTGTCAACCCAAGTGCTGTCAACCTATTCTGTCACACAGCAGATCCACAAACAACCCAACTGAAACATTTAATTCCGGACGTAAAAACGACAAAATTGCCGGGAACCTGGAGAATAATAATAAATGTGACGAACGTTCGCAATGGCCTTAACCTATAGGACATATATCAACGACGTCACATATTTTGTACGTCTCCTAGATATCTGTTACTCCACACAGACCTGTATTAGGGGCCGGTCTCCGCCGATGGAGGTCCAGTCCATGGTCCATACGTATCCGGTAGACAAGTCCCTCCTGCCGACCCTCAGGTCTCCCGTCCCGCCTACTTGTTCCAGGAGGTTCTTGAAATCTACCGCCGACACGTCGTATGGAATGTCTGGAAAATAAACGCCCCGTTTTACGTTATTCTGCATTTAAAGCGAGGAAACATGATCTACGTCATAGGGTCGTTCGCGTTGAGTTTTTCACAGTCAAATACATCATACTATCATCTTACGATCTCAAACTAAGCGAGAGCGTTCTTGGGTTAGTCCTCCTTCAAAATTCAGCTTGTTACGATAAAGGCTGTCTTATACACTTGTCTACAGTAGGTCCTGCCGCAGTCTGCTTAACGATTTAAAGGCACCAACATCGTGCGACGACCTGCGAAAAATGTGACTACACTGTAACTATAGCGGTATATAACTATAGGGTGCACCTTTTGATTATATGAGAAATGTGTAACAACATAGCGGCCATTGTTGAAGGTGGTCTAACGAATTTTTAAGTTTTTATAAGTTAAAACAACTCACTCTGAACTACGTTCCCCTCATAAGTGACGTCAAACGTTCCTCCGATGGGTTGTGAAGCCACACTGACCCGCTCAACCTTCAACATTGAGCCAGAAGGATACCTGTACTCTGTGCTGTTGTCGGTAGCTGACGAGACCTGCGGGGGAAAATTCAGTCGGACTGACTCAAGAAATATGATCCTGCAGATGCATGAAATGACATTTGGCATCTTGGCGAAAACAATACCCACTAGATAACATGTACAAGAAGAGGGTCGCCTGCTAGCAGGTCATTTGCAGATGCTGCCATGGCCAAAACGTCAAATGCCTTGTATGCAAGAAGAGACTGAAAGACGGAGAGACTGAAAGTTTCTTGAATCGTCGGAGCACTCAAACTCAACAACGTCAGCAGTGTGGCATTTACGTTGAGCCTCTTGACACCCTATCAGATTGGGCAAAGTAAGAATCAGCATACAGCATCAAATATTTTTGCAAAGCATTCTACGATTGGGTAAGTCCAGTTTTTGTTTTGTAAATTACAGTTTAACCTTGCTTCTGAGTGAGAGTGATTTTCAACAACGCAGATGTGTAGGTGTTATTAAAGATGAGAGTAGCTAGTCTGACCTGTGCAGATCTGACCGCCAGAAGCGGGAAACCGTACGCACTCTCCAGGGCTTCAAACGTGATGTCGTAGCTTGAGTCTTCCCCTTTCTCAACCACCACGTTCTTGATGTTGATTCCGTCAGGCTTGGCTCCTGGAGCCCTGTTTGCTGTAATATCTGATGTCAGAAAAACAGATAATTAGTGTCTCAAATCAGACTGACGCCTCCTACATGCACGATAGTCAACGTTGAATATGCTCAATATGGAATCAAATACATGTATAGACCTAGGATTCATACAACTCATCAGGCACAAAAGATGTCATAATCGTGCCTACCTTCTGGGTTGTCCACCGTATTGACTCTCCCAATGAAGACCGAGTCCACAAGGAGTTCAGTCGGATTCACCAACGTTATCAAGCGGAACTCTTTCGTCTTGAAATTTCTGAAGCCCTGCTTGGACGGGTCACTGGTCACCAGATCGTAGAGGTCTATACAGGTGTAATGCCACCTACCGACAAAAAAAAAACTTGCAGTGACTCTTCGATCAAAACTTGCCTCAAAATTAGTCAAAACTCCATTTTGAAAGACATCTTTTTGGAGTCTGAGGCACTGACCGCTGATATATTCTGTACATAGGATGACGTTATCCATACATGTATTTAGCTATGTTAGATCTTTACTTGTAGAAGACCATGAAAAAGTCCCTGTACTTTTTGTTCAGTCAAGAAAGAATCTATTGAGCAATGAATAAATAAAAAATGATAATACATGTACGTACGTCGAGTCACCCGTTATTCCGACGGAGTAGTCTCCTTGTCCCTGCCGCTCCTCTCCACTGCTGTCTGTGTAGGAGAACGTTATCCTGATGTTGTCACTCAGACCTGATGACCCCTTGTACGCAAAGCACGCCTGCAATAAAATACAGGTGTCAATCAACACAGGCACGGTTCTCACCAGGATTTTTTCACAGCGTTTTTTCAGGTACAGAAGGGCAACTTTCGCAGCGCAAGTCCCACATTGAGCCCCCAAAAAATGATCAGAGCAGGGGGTCTTGTATTATTCTTTCCGAAAAATTTTGAAACTCATAACCCCCCGAGATACAAGATTAGCACTAATCCGGTAAAGAGCCTAATGCCAACAGTTTTTAAACCAGTCTTTTAAACATGTAAATAAAGTGTGGCGGCGATGTGCTTTTGACTCGATCGAAATAATCAAATAAACCATTCATTCATTCATTTTAAAGTAATGGAGGGAGCTAAAGATTAAGACTTACCTTTCGATACATATCCATTCGGATCGGTCCGTCTCCCCATTGCGGACGGTACAGGAAGACATTGTTCCCTGCCCCCAGCCCACAGAACGAGTCTCCTCTGATCTCCCGCTCATAGTCCTGGTAGTAGGCTGTGATCGCGCTGTTTGGATTCGTGATTTCACTGGGGCAGCGGGTACCAAACATGGAAAGAAGGGCAGTTTTTACCTGAAAAGAAAAAAAAATTATGTTAAGAATATACATTCTTGTGTAAGAAGAAAATGCTTATATTCTGTGAAAAAACTGTTTTGAAACTTACATCGGCTGCACTTGCATCGTGAGCGATAGGATCGGAAGGCACGCCGTCCACCTCGAGTGTGAAGGTGTCCAGCGACGGTCTGCCCTCCGTGGTGACGGCGACGGTAGCGTTACCGCCCGATATGTCCACTTCGATCGCGGGGAAAAATCCTGGAGGGCAAGAGGAACAGATTATAGAACTCAGGGATCAGATGAAACGAAGCTACCATTGAAGCCTTGGAATAAGCCTGTTCATGTAGGAACTGCTGTCAAATGTAAAATTCAAGGTCAATGCTTGACATCATGTATAAGACGTGTTTGGTTTATACATGCCTCAAAGGCCCTCCACTTTAACTAGTCGTGTATTTCTAAGATTATTGGCGTAGAGGAAAGACCATTGCCCTTCCATTCATACAAACTCCATTCATAGAGCACCAATATCGACGTACAAACCCTGAACCCGCTCACCTCTAGTAGACTGGAACTCTACAGCCAGCTCGGAGCCGTCAGCTGTGTTAGACTGGGTGATCTTGACTGTATCGGGCTGGACTGACACTAGACTGTTCAGGGCAGTTTTCACGTCGTTCGGGTTACTTGTACTAGTCAGCACACCTGTGGAAGATTGTAGAGGTAACACTATACGCTATAGAATGAAGACCTTTATTGTACATCTACATTGTATTTTTCATCTAAACTCCCTGGCATTTTGTATCAATTGCTGACGCCATGTATCTGTGAAGTCTCGTGTGAATATGGTCATGTGTCCTTAACTCCCGCGAGATTACTTTTTGAAATGATTGGTCATTGATTATCCTGATGAAGGCGACAGTGGTCATTGAAAACTTGATCTGTGTTGAAAGTTTGACATATTAACCAAAATGTATCAAACTGTGCATCCGCAGTTGGAACCACAAATTCGCTTATGATGACTATGTTAACATTACCTGTTGAAGCGCCGTCTAACCGGAGTTTGTACTGGAAGAATGTACCGACGAAGCTGATGGTCTGAACCTGCTTCACCGCTGTATCTGTTGTCCAGTTACTCAGGGTCACTCGCTTTGAGGCAAAGGTAGAAGAAAGGGAGTTATTTGGTATGCGCAATTTTCAACACATCTCCGCCGACATTGCAACTGCTTTGGGGGCAACCTGACACGTGAGCAAGTTTCCCGACCGATTCACGTCTAAGATTGTTATAGAATCGCAAACTGGTGGATCTAACTCGAAGTCTTTAATGGTCTCTCCTTGATCCTCTTTGTTTGCCCAAAGGAATTCTATATTTCAATGTATCCACCAATTTATCTATAGATTGATTGTGCTGGTTTGAATTTTGTATGGCAATGTAGAACATAACAACTGAAACAATGGTAACTTGAGCAGCGTGGCAGTTCACCCTCAAGTTTGCAGAGAGAAGTTACGATTTATTTCGTTTCTTAATACCTGTATTTCTGGGCGAACTGTCACGGACAGCTCCAGTTGTTCCTGCGTCATCCACGCACTGTCAGTCTGCTGTGACGTGTACGATGTGTTGAACATTCGGACGGCCACTTCAAAAAACCCCGTTCCTGTATTCTCGACGAACGCCAACTCCATATAGTAGCTGGAATACAAAAGTGTCCATTTATAGTGACTGTCGTATTTCAGTCCATGCCACGATATGGATGAAATTTATTGTTTTCCCTCGTGTTTCTTCTCCTCCTCCTTTTATTTCGTTAAATGCCAAAATGGATTCAATTTCTTCATTTTTGTGCCAAATGACATGAAATTTGGCATGAAGGTAGAATAGCCAAATGCCCCAGGCGTTTTGTTTTCTTTGGATGCAGACTTTTTTTGCCATTTTCAGGCAAAAAATGTGCATTTTGGAATCTTGAGCCCTGGTATTAAATCCGAATGACCTGAAATTTGATATGGTGATACCTTGGGGACATGTTATGGCACGGCAGGGCTTGACAGAAGCAACAGCTTACAAGACAGCTACATTTTATACGACATATGCATGACTATCGGAAGAGAGTGTACAAGATAGAAATTTCCTTACCTTTTCCCTTTCTCCAGCCACATCTTCTCAGTCTTCTGGCTCGCACCCTTAGCCCACTCAGGGGAGTAGCTAAAGAAGGACGCCACTACGGTCTATGGGGTGGAAACAGTAAAGGGTCACAACATGTACCAGCGAAACAATTTATATCTTTAACTTTCGCTTATCTCGCATGTTTGTGATGTCATACATTTGTGTGTCTCAAATAGAACAACAAAAACATGCCGCCAGATATTCGTCGGCAGAGAAAAAAACATGGTTTTATAAATAAGTAAAACTATGTTGAATCATGAAATATACTTTATCTGCCATATAAAAATATCACACATTGCTGTTTTGTCATACGATTTTGCCATTGTTTTTTTTATTGTATTGTATTGTATTGTATTGTAAGTGACTGACTTTTCTATCCTTATTTGCGTCCGGACTCATCCACAGTTTGGCGATGTCGTCCCCGCGGATGTAGAATTGGTATAAGTTGTCCATCGGCGGTACAAAAAAGGCCCTCGCTCTGGCATCAAAACTGAAAACATTTAAAAGAAAAACTCATCAACACAGCATAGTGATGAAACGTATACACAACCTTAGTCTTACAATGTTACTGAGCGAGCGATGCACATAAAGAAATGAAACATTTAATGTTGTCACAGAGATTATGCGAAATTGGCGAACACGTGTACACACAAAAACCCCTACGAGTTCCATTATTCGCATTCTAACAATCATGACCTCTCGCGAGATCTAGCGAGATCGCATGACACCTCTGGACATTTGGTGAAATCTCGCGAACGCTAGGGAGATCTCGCGAGAAACTTACTAATTCATTTGGGGAAGCTTGTAGTATGCAAACTCGTTGATCGGCACCGGCCAGTAGTCGCTCATGGATGAGTCATACTCCAATATATCATCCATGGTGCCCGGTGCGCTATGGCTGTTGTTCCACAGAGCGAACTCAATTCCGCGGTTCCCTGAAACGCACAAAGACCTTTTTACTCAGGATAACTTGCTGTTTTGCTGTGGAAACCTGAAAAAAGACCGTGAAAATATATTCAATGACAATGTGTTTTGCGACAGAAAAACTCTGTGTTTGATGTACATTGTACTTAGAATAAAACAGCTTCAGAACAACTAATTATAAGACCCATGTTCTCAGCGACCTGTTCATTTGATGGGGATAGAAAACGAGACTAAAATATCTGTATTTTATTAGGCTTAATAATTACCTCTTACACTGTGGCTGGGGCCAGTCTGGAGATCGAGAGTGAACTCGTTGTAATTGTGTGAAGACCGTTACTCTTAGGTCCCATATCTCGGCACTCTACACTTGGTGGCAGCGGTGGGATCGGCACTAGCACATTATCAAAGAAGGGGATACGACTCCTCCTTATAGTAACATCCGGGATGTCTAAGATATTTCTTTAGTACTCAGGTAGCAAAGTTGTTTGTTTGTTGTTTGTTTGTTTGTTTGTTTGTTTGTTTGTTTGTTTGTTTGAAACATTGTTACAGACTTACCAGGCCATGAGAGTGAGGACAGGTCAGGAGCAGCCTGTGTGATACACTCGATCGTGTTGTCTGTCATACTCTGCACAGCACAAGGTGTTCCTGTTGGGAAATAACATCGGATATGCTGATATGCTATTCAAATCCACAAGAGGAAATTAAAGCCATTGTAGACGGTTGTAGAAATGTTGTGAATTAATGACTTATGATTCATTTCATACAACTGCATGCATCTAATATAGATGTGACTGATGTTTTTACAAATTATATTCCAGTCAAATACCACAGATACGTGATAGCAAAGATTCGTAAGAAATGGCCAAAACCCTGCATGGTTAGTCATTAATCATAGATCCTCACCTCCAACGTAGACTTCAGGCGGAGCGTCGGTGTCGTCAAAGTACCTGCCGGTGATGGTGAGCCGGGTACCGCCGGCAAGGCTGCCTGTGGCCGGGCTGACTCCCAGCACCTCTGTGGGGAGGGATGATAAAGAAAATGAGTCAAGAAATGTTGATACATGACAATCGCAATTTTAAAGTTGCCTAAATTTTTATGGCCCTAAATGACATTTTACAACATATACATCAAGTTCTAATTGTGAGTATTGCCCTCAAAACGACATGAAAGGAGAATACCAGGTACCTAGGTCGAAAACAATCCTTATTTTCTGACATCTACCCTGTAGTATGTTGTACGTCTATGCAACTAATTTAAAATTTGCTAGGTTTTCCGTTCCTCAAGTCAGTGTTAAACAGATGATTCAGACGTTTTCCCAACATAGGTATGACGTACCGGCGTATGTTTGGAACATGCCCAAGTTCTTGTCCGTCGGAACCGAAGTCGGCTTCTTGACGTTATTGGCAGTCATCGACCTACCGACCGAAAAGCGAAGACATCTCGTATCGATAGATCGCAGTGAAGATATTCAAATCTTACAGATAATACATAATAAATCATATAAATCATTCAATGTGTGCTATAGAGCTTACCTTCCAAAGGCTCGATCAATAATGAAACTGACGTTCATGTTGCCTATTGAATGGAAGAACATGATTGTGTGATTTTCTTACCGTATATCACAAAGTGTCAAATCTGAACTTAAATGATGCCTGCAGCAATTCTTAGCAATTAATTAAATTATGCTGATAAAAAAAAGTGCTACCTTGTGCTTTGGCTACTTGCTCGACACCCTTTACTACCATGTGTTAAAACAGTGGAATTTCAACAACAGTATCAAAATCATCATGTAAAACACACCATACGTTATTTCCATAAATGTGTTTGTTTATTTGTTTTATCTTTTAGTGCATAATGGAGATGTCCAACTTACCTACGTAGGAGCCCTCCAGTTTGCATACAAACCAGCCGTTATCCGAAGTCCCATCGTTCTCCAGCTGGATGCCATACCTTTGTGCAAAACACAGAGCAATTCAATTTTCTTATATTTGGTAGAACAGCCCAAAAACATAAAAGAGACAAACTGATTAATCACTAAAGATCTGGATCCATTCCTTGCATGCATGTATTTAAAATTTAAACACTAACAGTAAATATCATCAAAGGAAGGCAAACATATATTAACTGTATATTACATAAACCTGCTAGAAACAGATCAGTACATTTGCATGACATGTAATATCATTCTTTAATTACTATTGTTACATAAATAATGACTCAAATCTATGCAGCAACGAGCGGGCTGAACCATCCAACATGGCGACGAGTAGTTACGTCATGGTCACGTGAGTGCAAACATGTCATACTTACATTTCATCGTTTTCGAAATCTCGCAGCTCACACTTCTGACCGCCAACGAAGACCCTGCACGATTAATTATTCATTGAAGATTGGACATCCAGGAAATGAGACCCACAAGAAAACAGTTTCTAAAGCAGCTGGGTAGATTTTGGAAACTGTCAGACGTTTCCAGTGGCATACACTACTTTTCGTCTGTATTTCTAAATATCAAAATATACAATCACTTCGTGTCTTGTTCAATGTTTGAATGGGAGAGGGTTAGGGTTGGGGTTGGGGTTAGGGTTGGGGTTGGTGTTAGGGTTGGGGTTAGGGTTGGGGTTAGGGTTGGGATCAGACACGGTTCTGGATTGTCTCGGCGTATCCAAGAACAGAGATTTGCAGACATGATTTTGGATATGACTATATTAGTATATACTATCCAGAATCGGGCCTGCAAGAGGATCTATGTGCGTCAAATGCCACTAACGATGGTAAGGCCAATTGGACAGAAGGGGTGGGGCAAAATGAGATGCTGAAAATCGAAAATGCCCCACCTTTTAAAGGCACACTTTCTCCCATTGGTACCGTTGGGCGCGTTGCTGCCGTATAAGGTGGTAAAGATTTTACCCTTCACGGTTATGAAACTTCCTGAAAAGAAAGATGATTTAGTACATTGTGTCATTCTAACGTTCGTCCTCGTGCTTTGTATGTTTATCTGATGTACTTTATGTGATAACATTTGTATTTATTACCATCACAGTATCAAACGAAAGTAGAAAATCATTATTCCAAAATATGCATAAAAATGAAGGGGCACGCGTTACCTGGAGGTGCAGACGACGGCACTATACTATTAATCATTGGTGTCACATCTCCCCGGTACTGAGAAGAAAAAACGTAAAACTTGATGCAGGGTTGCTCTCTGGCTTATTCACAGTGCAGTCTATTGTACCAACATTGTCCAACCATAGACCCGTGACAATTGATGAATAAATCACATGGACAGATGGACAACGGGAAAAGGAAGGAAGGAAGGGAGGAGGAAGGAAGGAAGGAAGGAAGGAAGGAAGGTATTTTGGGCTCCTTCACCATAGAAATCCCTATAGGGCGAAAACTGCGGCCTTACCTGAAAACGACACGCATGGCAGTGCCTATTTGCGGGTATCTCCTCGCCGTCCACAGTCACCCGGATGTTGTACCACCCATTCTCCTCCACAGGGCTGAAGTAAGGTCATGCACACATGGTTTACTTCCGGGGCAACAAGACAAAGTACTAGTACTCATAGTGGCACGTGGACAACTAAACCTCGTTTGAAACACTTTCATTCACATAAGCTATCCTGGTTCTACAGTAGTGCCAGGTTGTAGTTTCAACATGTTTAGTTTCTGATTGCTGCTGCGTCGTTCCCAAAATACTTGCATACAAGTGTATCTAAAGTTGCATATAGCTAGTTAACTGTAGCAAATTATTAGAAAAGACCATGTTATCATCATGCAATCTCTAAACATCTGTCGGAGACTGTTACTAGTATGTATGTAATGAGTGTGGATGTACGCTTACGGAGTCCTGAAGACGATCTGTTGCTGGTTGGACATGTCGGGTTCAACGGCACCGTCCAGAGAGAACCTGCCCGACTCGTGAACCAGTTTCACCCTGTTTCCGGCATCCTTGTTCCCTTCGCCCCAGTCAAACTGGTTAGCAGAGAATCCTGATGAAAATATACATAGTTATTGACAAGTCTATTGATACATTTGCTAATTGATTCTTGCAAGTTATATGTATGTTGAGCTCACTCATTAAATGTACGAGCATTGGTTGATAGCTTTCCTTATTTGCTTGTTTGATGTTGACTTGACATAAAATTCAGATCCATCCAAGCTCAGTGTACTCAATGCATTTAGACTCATTGTACATTATAATGCTGGGTACGGAAGTATTGTTTTGGGTGTCTGAGCTGTGGAGGTTGTGCATCTGCTTGTCCAAGCAGCGTATGCGTAGGTAGGCAGCACGTGGGTGAGGAAGATTGACATACAGAGGGACAATTGGAGCTCAATGGTCTCAGGAGAAATTAGAGGTCGACATGGGGGAATTCAGGAGGCCGAGGATTGCATAAGTCTGAAGTCTCCGATTTCTGGGTTGTATTGCTTTCGATTTTACTGGGACGAACGAAAAGAAATAGAAAATGTAAAGAGTCAATTTGTGTGTGTGTCCTTACCTTCCCCGACGAGCCAGACTTGAGTCTCCCCTGCCAAGCTTCCGTGGTTGGGGTTGATAGAAGCCACTGATCGCGCAGGAGTCGCTAAACGAGTGAATCAACAAATTGGTATTATAATGTTATCATGAATACAGCAGAAGATTGGTGTTTTCGTTGTAAAGATAATGAAGCATTAAAACGACCAACGTCTATATTAGGGGGAAACAACGATGTGCACATATCAGTGAGTTGTTATTACACTACTACTGGTGGCAGCGGCGGTACAAGTATTAAGAAGACAAATGCAGGAAGGGTCATTATGTTACCAGTTATTTATTAGTCATTTCTATAACCATCCTCACAGTATATATGGCAGTCACTAGAAAACATTATATCGGCAGTGGCAACAGAGAAAGATATTGACTTCACATTTGACAGTTTAACACTGGTGGCAGCGATGGGATTCATGGGATGACGTAATCTCTAAGCAGATCTTTGGAGGGGAAATGGGTACCTTCTCCGGTACTGTGTGTATTCTTGAAAGTTAGGAAATAGCTTTTTCCTTCTACTTGTACTCCTTATTGTCTTAGCTCGTTGAGCTTGACATCTCGATTTTTGAAAAGTGGAAGGCGAAAAATACCCTAATATTTTAGTTTACGTACTGCAAGAGGTACCCAAGGTTAGAATAGTGTAATATGAAACTTACGGACACAGCCTAGGAGGTAAGATCACCATGAAAACGTTTAGAAATACAAACTTCGGAGGTCAGCAAATCTATTCACTGGGTTTTATTTTTAGCCAGGAGTCACGAGATTGTTTATGAAACCACCATCAATGTCAACAAAGGTTTGCGCTACCATGACTGCAGGCCACGCCCTTCCTTTGCTTTGGTAATCAAGATTTGGTAATTAAGATCAAGCATTGTTAAATTATATAGTTGCTCATTTTGCAACTGTTTTGTACGATTTACAGTATGGTTAAAAACTTTTGTTTTTTTTTTTAAATTAATGCGCGCGTGGATGTCATCCATATAATTAAATCAACATGGCCTAAGCTGCCTGGCAGGGCCGGGCCCCGTGTGGGAATTGACAATTGTGACCTCGGCATAAGGATGTCTTCCATGAAACACACAAATAGAGGATGGCACAACAAAGATGGCGAATACCACACGTTTGTACTGACTCTGTAACCATGGTGACGGGTCCAAACAAACACATAGTTCATGAACTATCACAGGAGAGGGTGTTTGTCCGCAAATATTTGACAAAAACAAAAAAAGATAAGGGTTGACAAAAAAGTTGACAAAACCCAAGTTTTCTTTTAAGGTTCTTTACTTACGAGCAACATGCTTCGACTTGTAATTACGTCCTTGTGATATCTGTAAACAAGCTTTAAAAGATGAAGTTTAAGATACCAGTCTTTTCACATGATTGTGTACGAAAACTTTACATTGTCGAAGAAAACTTCAGAACAATTGTCCAAACAATATTGTTAAGAAGCTACCCATGGCATACTTTTGTCGTGTTTTTGTACAAACTCTTCGGCATGTCTTTGAAGCGTTTGTTTCTTTTCATGATCACCCACTATGACCGTACACGCGACACACGGGGCTTAGTACTGGGTTATAAGTATACATTACGTGGATCCGTTTCTGCCAACCCTTGATGGATAAGTGCAATGACCCCATGGGGAGTACGGATAGAGGAGTTACATACGGCTAACAGGTTGTGTCAGGTGAATAGGGTTTCATGATTAGGAAATTACATAAGCGTTGCTGAGGGAATATAGTACCTATTGGTGACCTGTTGGCTTTCAAACAAATGGTTTGGTGTAAGATCATTCTATCGCCACTTAAACCAGTGGAATCTGGCTTAGACATGTACTACTGATGCCTGTTCGCAAATATTGAAGTCGTCAACCTATTATAGAATTTTGGGTAAGATGTCAGCATACAGGAGGTACGAGGAACAAACACGTTTCCTCTATATAGCTCAAAACAGTCTTGAATTGACTGAATATGTGTCAATCAATGCTCCTGAATTTCAATACTAATTTAACAGTTATATTATCCTCGTATACACATTGATCAGGCAAATTTCAGTGTGGAAATACCGTATAAGATATACCGACATGACAACGTATAAGATGCCGCACACGTGAGTTTCCACTAACCAGAACGCCCCTTTGTGTAAAGTTACACGGCTCTGCACAACTGTCAACATTACTTTACTGTCCATTCCTTGCTACACATGTTTATATGTTTGTACCGTAAACAACGTCATGGTGTAGTGTTTCCCCAGTCTCATACAGGCTCTTACCCTGACCTTTAAACAACCCAGTACCACTTAAGCTGCGTCGCTCTGGTCAGCCTCTTCAGTACTAGTGTTCCCCTATTCAAACCAATCCGTACATTTGTGACTTATGCCTACGCTCCATGAGAAAGTTGCATACATTTAAACAAAAAGTTTTTATGTTGTTTGTGTGTGTTGTATACTAGTATTTTACAAAATCTTAAAAGGTGTTGCAAAGGCTCTCTGTTTTGTCGCAAACTCACGCCGTGCATGCTATCGGCCTACGATCGCAAACTAAGGAGATTCTTGGGATAGTTGTGCATATTCAAATGTGCACACCGAAATGACCCAAAGATTCTTGAATTCCTGTCCGTAGTTGGCTGGGAAATATTGTATGACCTTGAACGAATGCGTGGCGCCGTAACACTCCAGTGAAGCCATGAAAAGTTTCGCGGGTGGCCCAAACGTTCAACATTTCAAATTCCCGGGTTTTGTTGCTCTCTCGACTGGCATGCTACTATGGTAATGGAAATGACGCTTAACTTAGTCCTCTCTATGAAGGGAACTTGCACAAGATCTATCGCAACACATTGCCAATCTAAAATGTGGTGGTCACAATCTGACAGCTCACATAATATGCGTATGGCTCCAAGTCATGTCCTTCAAACAGAGAAATGTATTGTAACTTTTTGATAACTGATGAAGTTGCTTCAACATTCTTTTTTTTTTATACTCAAAAGATAAAACTATTTTTGTCATACAGCCTTGGCCGGCAAAGAGCAACCGCTTATCTTTTGCATGTTAAGTTTTTTCTGCTTTTAAGATGTAACCTAGCAAGATAAACAATGTTTTCCTCACTTTGACTCCGTGCGCCTTGCAGAAGCAGAAGAATCCAGACCGACCAGGCGGCGGCAGCGTACCGGCGTGACACAGCCATGTCCCCGGGAACCCTCGCGATCGCCTCTGTCGTCTGCGGACACTCGGCTTGTCTGGCGTTCTAGTCGCGTGGCATGAGTACCTCCCAGAAAATCTCGAGTTAGCCCTTTGTTTCGACGTATAATGACTAAATAACCAGCCTGAAACCAGAGCTACCAAGACATACACGCGTCTTTCTTGAGGCGTAACCTAAGGAACAGGTATGTTGACGCAAGGGGGGTTGAAACCTCCTAGCCTTGATTGACGTAAACCTTTCACTTTGCTGAGATGCTCTTTTACTCCATCAATCATCAGGCTTTGTCATTGGCTTATATAAAACTCGGACAAACTATTGGTACAGCGAGGGGACAAGGCTTGTGTTTATGGTCCAGCTTCACTGCTCAGTTGGTCGTATTGTGGTCTTTAACCCCCTACTCTGTAATAGACTGGTATGGTAGAGGTGAAAGCCTGATTGTACGCGGCTGCTGAACTGAAACATATCGCGACCTTCCCGGGGGGTTGTCAACATTCTGAATAGGAAACATGCATGGAAGCAGCCATATACATACTATGATTGGTCAAAGGTGTCTACCAATGGTAAATCAATGCATGGCGTATTTATATCGCTGAACTAAATAGACCTTGACGGACGTACAGTAGCTTTATGTCACTCTTCATAGAGTCACAATAATAGTGTGACCATGTGTTTTTGAAATATGACTCTGAAAGTATTATTCATACCAGGGTATTTGAATGGTAATTGTATAATTGGTAAATTATCTAATCCCTGTACATAGTGCCTGCCCCGTGATATGAAAAATAAATGCTACGAAACTTCATATGGCGAGTGCTCCCATACACGACACTTCGTCCCGGGCCCATTGCCCTGGATGCACTGCATGCTCATTTTCAAAGGAGGCGCCCTTAAACGGCTTACATGATATATTGTATATGTCTCACACACGAAAGCGACTAGTCTTGAGAATCAGGTACTAGGTAGGGATTATGTAATGTCTCGCTGTTGTCACTCCTTTGTCCTGATTGGTTGCTTACTTGACGGTTGATTGATTGGTCAGGATGTTGTTTAACGCATGCGTACTGAATAGGGGGTTTACGCCAGGTTCATTGACGTGATAAGGTCACAGTTTAACTTCCGTATTCCTGATTGTTATTGCCATATGGAGACGGGTGTTTGCTTAGTAGCGAAAAAAGGTAACATTTTACTTTTGTCACTTCTCTGTCAGAGTTGAATTTGTTACTGACTTGCATGGTTAGAACGTGGGCGTATACGCATATGCAATATTCCTGAAGATTTTCACAAAGATATATTTCTATTTTTATTTATTTAAGAGTCTGGTAGTCATTGAAAAGCACCCTATCGTAAACGCCTATGTTTGCACTACCCAACGTGAATTCACAGTACATTATCATGGTGGAAGCATGCCCAAATATATAGATATGGCCACATGAGATTTGTTCTTGTTTCACATAAGATCCTTTTAAGAGAAAAGGGCCTAGGGTATACAAGGGTATACAAGGCCAAAGGTCACGGTAACACTGGAATGCACGTGCGACCAATGTGCGTATGCCATCGTATCGTGCAATACATCTTCGGTCCGCATTAGGGCGTGTTGGGAACAAGATTGTATTTATCTGCACAAGTACGCACCCGCAAAAGCTAGAGCTTTAACTCTCAGAACTTTTCAGAATTCCCTGCCATCGGATACCAAGGTCCCACGTGAAGACCAAACACGGTTATTAGATGACAAAGTTTAAAACTTACCGCTCATTACAATCTTCTTCCTTTTTCATTTCAGGTTTCAGAAAAAGGCCGATAGTACACGATGGATAGCATACTCACAAACTTGAGTACACTTCTCTGGATCTTGTATGAGTGGCCCAGTGCACTGATTGCAATTATTGTAGTTTTAATTATAGTCTGGATTGTCAACATTCTCAGCATTCGCCAAGTCATTCCTATGATCATCATAGTGCTCTGTGTGGCTGCTGCACTTGAAAGTCAACGCCTGGCACTAAAGGGAAAGGAACTTGAAATCAAAAAAGCACGAATTGACCAACAGCTGGAGATGGCAAAGTTGGATGCGGAAGTCAAAAAACAACAACTGGAAGTTGAAAAGGAGCGGCTGTCACTGCAACGTGATAAAGTTCGAGCGTACGAAAATATTCATATCGCCACCTTGTCTGATACAAAAGAAGAAACTGAAGAGTATGAAAACCGTGGCTGGATTTCTAGCGAAACCAAACGTGTCCAGAAGAAAGAGTCATATAGTCGTTTTTCACCATCTCAAATAGAGCAACTTAGGCGTCAACTTAATGAAACGCTTCAACTGGACCTGGAAAAAGCGGACAAGCCTGCGATTGAATGACAATCTGTGATTGAAGAACAAACTGCGCCTGGACGACAAGGAAATGACCAATCTCAATATAATCTATCTAGAATCGTAAGCAAAATCAATTACCAATAGTTTCTAATTTCACTTCCTGAGAAGAGCTTGCCCTAGCTTAATGCATTATGACCATAGGAATATTTGCGATCTTCTGGAAGTGCACTATAATTATTCCAGTCCAAGTCTGAACAAATCAGTCAGAGAGAAAGAGAGAGGAAGAAACTCTAAAGTCTGCTGTGTGTGATGTGCAATTTTCTTTTAAAGACGGCAAAATGAGATATAATCTTCTTTAGTATTCACATGTACTAGTTATGATTTCTAAAATATTTCGGCCATGTCAGATGAATACCTTTTAATAGTTAATAGTTAACATATTATCAATGTGTATTGCCTATCTGCCAATGTGTGCCAATTTGTAATGCCACTTTGTTAACAAACACTCGCATTCCGATTATCAAACTGGACCAATGCAGACCAATGCTATGTTAGCTACTTATGTGTTGTATGACGGGATCGGATACCCGCCCAATCTAACATGGTGGACGTATGAAGACCTCAGCCACACTAAGTGTAAGCTCTTCAAGTTAATTGTTCAAACTTACATGACATGTGATATGCGGCAATTAATTTTCCAATTCTGCAGTTTAGATACATATTGATTAGTGTCACTCTGTTGTTGACTGTCAATTATATAGAAATGAGAATTTAATACATGATGACCTGTACTTAGCTTGTAAGAGCATAAACGTACAATAATAAAGGTCTTTCATTCATTCAAAATATTTTGACAGAGGTCTAGCGTATAGCTGTCGCAGTTGCAACGCCAGGTTACTTTTCACCAATGAAAATCAGTACACTATGCATTGTCTCAGTGTGCAATTTTTTTAATTTAAAACGAACATTACATCACATACATCACAAAACCCCCTCCCAACTACCAAATCCTGTGGTTGTTATTTGAACATTCCGATGATAGACGGAATAATTGGTATAACAGTTAATAAACAAACATAAACGTTGCTACGATCGTAACATCAAAAATGTGGTTGTATCAAATCTCATATCTGAGTACGTAAACTTACATGCAAAGCTGTACATGTGAAAATACAAACAACAGTCTAGTGTCTTCTTTCTTCTTTGGCAACGTCGCTATCTTTGTGTCATCACAAATCCGGAAGTGAAAGAGACCGCCATCGAAACTTGGGAGGTATTCCCCTGTCACGTCTAACATGCGAAACATAAACAAAGTTCACAACTGTTGAATTTAAAACTGCTTTATTCTGCGTGTAGATAGACTAAAATAATATCTAGTTGAATTCATACAACGTGACAGTCGGAAATATACTTACGTAGTGTAAAGAATATAAGACAGACTGTAATTGCAGAAATGATTATGGCGAAATGTGAGAGGACAGGACTCGATCATGTTTACATGTAGGAAACATGTTGTTTTGACTGATCTGCTTAGTTACACACACAAGAACTGACAATGTTCATTGTGATTTTTCCTGCTACAGGGAAGCAAATTGCACAGAAAAGCACTCTGAATTCTTGATTTGATTATAGGTAACAGTATGCATTATACTCAATATCCGAAGGTAAGGCCATTGATTGCACATTCGAATTCTGTCCAAAAGCATGGTTCATGTTGTTTTCCCCATACGTCGATGACGGTTACTGAGTCGAGCGTTCCGTATATTTCAGATGGCGAAAGTCTTCGAGGTTACATTCTTCTTCGCCTCTTCTGTAAATTGCTGCTGTACCTATCACAGCTTTAACTTCTTGACATATATAATGTATGAAGGCTGACACAGGTTGTTAGTACAGTTTTAGTTGTCTGTCGATGTCGGTTACGTACTGAGTCGAGCGTTCCGCATATTCTAGATGGCAAAAGTCTTCGAGGTTACATTCTTCTTCGCCTCTTCTGTTAATTCTTGTTGCTGTAGGTCATATCTTCAGCTCCTTGCATGGTTGCCGACACAGGTTGTCAGTTCATTATTATTTGTCCGCCCATAATGAAGAGGAGAATGATGGGCAGTGAATAGATGACGGTAGCCCCCATCGCGACAGAGAAGTAGGTCAGCTTCTTGTCCAAGGTTCGGACCACCGCCAGGGCACCCGCAGACAGACAGACACTGACGGCCCAACCAGCTAGGGCAACGGGGATATAGATATCCATCCTACGAAACAAAACAATAAGATATGAAACATACTCAAACAGGCGTCATGAAAATAAAGACTATCAGGGGAGGCACCATTGGAATTCTATGCCTTTATTTCAAACCTCAAGTCTGTACCCCCACTGGAAAGCTGGGTTTTTCAGGTTTCCTTTGGTACAAATAGAGCAACGTCGGGTCGACTCCGGCGTTTTAATGAGCTACAGCCAAAATGTTTAAATGATACCAAGATTCATGGCAAAGTGGGCCAGTCCATCCAGTGAAGGAGTATTTAGAGGTCAATAACAGGGCAAACCATGCCAAACTTTTTGGTCAGATTTTAAAATTATACATTCTTCTGTTCTTCTTACCAAGAAAACTGGGCATTTCTGAGCAAAATTTGTCCATGAAAAAAATATTTCAAAATAATCCAAAATATATCGTTTGTACGATAAGGGTGTACGTGTACAGAGTGGCTTTTCTGCTAATGGCGAATGACTCCCCCCCCCCCCATATAGTTTCGTAACTCAGCTAGATCTGCTAGTGTTTCACAATATAGCTAGCTCGCTCTGCTATTAACACAACAAATCAATCCTCAGAAGGGGATGACAACAGTAAAAGGTTACCTTGAAGTTTCTCGTGACTTTGTAGACAATTCTGCCTTTCCAGACGGTCAGTGTGTGGTTGTGTAGTCTTACCAGCTCCGAAGTTCAAGGTAAAACATTACGAAGTACAAGTAGAAATGAGAGGAGCGAAACATGTACGTAGCACACGTCATTGAAACTGAGAAGAAACCCCCTTACGTCATCGAAACATAGCAGAAACCCCCTTACGTCATCGAAACATAGCAGAAACCCCCTTACGTCATCGAAACCTAGCAGGAATTCCCCTACCGCGTATAGCATGCCAAATCTATACAGATTACAACTTTTGGATCAAAACAACTGCTTTATTCGGCAGGCAGATAGTAGAACAACATCTACAAGAATTCATACAACGCCGCAGTCAGAAATGCACTTGGTATTAACAACACGGGACATACAAAAGAGGTAAACAGCTTCATGCTAAATTCTCAACACATTTATCACGCCAAGTTCAGTTAACAATGCATCATGCAGATGACACATATGTACAGATGACAGAACGAATCTCAATTCATTATGTTTTACGTTTGTTTCTTTTTTTGTTACAAGGCATTAACATACTAGTAGTATGGACTTAGTAGTTTTAATGCGAAGAAAAAAGTAAAGATAATCACTTCAAACAATATTGAGTTAAGATGATAACTCAAAACAAGCTTGATTAAAGATAATCACTTCAAACAACCTGAAATGATAACTTCAAAGTTTAACAAGTTTGATTGAATAAAGATGCTCACTGCAAATCATCTTGAGTATTAAAGTTAATAACTTCAATCTTAATGAAAGGAAACAACCAAACAATCTTGATTGAGGATAATCACTGCAAACAATATTGATATCATTTGGCAAACTATGTCTGCATCATTGTCAAATATCTGAGCACAAGACGAGGTCACGGAGAGTTCCACGGTGAGTCTGTATCTGTATCGGTATAGCCGGTATAACCGCCCTTCGGCGTAACACACCAGCTTCACAGGCACGCGGCGCGGCGGCAGCTGGCTGCATTACACCGACCGACTTGTTGCACCTAACCCTAGCTTGAACATCTAAATGTAAAAATTGTTTAAAGCTACCTACTGATAATGCCCCTACTGCACTTGGTGATAGCGAGTTCCACTCTGCGAAAGTTCTAGCTATATAGGAAAGAATGAGTTCTTGAACACCTCAATCCTTCGTTGATAACTCTGGTACTTGAAAGCTTGACTTCTTGCTCCAAAAAGGGCATGTTGAGTCTTTTAGTCACGGAAGCCAGTCTGGCATAGGCGGCGGGCCTACGATGAATAGATGGAGGATGATAGCCATACCAATGGCCCACATAAACACATGGCGAATATCCCGGATATGGTAAAGAATGGCTACCACCATGGCTACTACGATGTACCATCCCAATGAGGTGGAGTACTCGGTATAGGTCATCCTATAAAACAAAATAACGACATTGATTGTACATAAAGCATGTTGCTGTATTAATACATGACTGACTCGATTACATCCCATATGGATTACTCAAATTCATATCCTACATGTCCTTTAAAACACATCAAACCGGAAGTACCACTGCAGTACCTTGAAAAGTCGCTAAGCCTATTTTGAAAGCACATCTACAACATCAAAAGTTATCCTGTCAAGCCTAATTATATCAGAAAAGTCCCATTGCAGTTCCAGAAAAGCAGCTATTTCACTGAAAACTATATGCTATATATGCCAAGTGCCAAATATGCACAAACACCTACGTTCCACTAAGAATATCCAAACTATAGCATGTGCATACTATGGCACAAGATATCATACCCATCGGCATATACCTCGCTGTAGTACAAAGTCGCTAGATTACCCATAATTGACCTTGACCATTGGTCTCCCAACTCCAAGGTAAAGGTAACACGCGTAGTTTAAACTGTGAGATGTGTTTCTACCACTAGAGCCACAGGACACAAAGTTTTTTACGTTGCACCGCCATATTGGAAAACCATAATTTCTTTCCTCCAACAAATATAGGCTTGATTTGAATAGGCGCTCAACAGTTTGAATGCCTTTGCTAGTGAACCTATACTACTGGTGTTTTTGTAGTCATTCAGTGATACAATGTAAACAAAGGTAGCTGAACTTGAGAAACGTGATATGTGCCGATATCGATGGACGCCATGAAAGCTAGCAAACGGTATATGTAGCTGCCTATACGGTGCAGTAAACACTTTGAATTTCGAATTCCCATACCCTGGGAAAACTTAGTCACAGGTCCTTACGTTTTACACTTCTGACGTACATACACTGTATCATAAGCTACATGTAGGTGTATGTCAGCCACTCGTCGTACAAATCGTTATACGATCGCAAACCGCGGAATGCATTATTGGTACAGCCATGTATGTACTAGTATCCTGCAAAATTCAGTTGCCTTGTCACAGATGACAATAGCTTGGAACCCCAGAAAGATTCTCTAATTTTCAACACAGGTTCAACATAGGTTGGAGATCGTTGTGTCGTCAAAATCACACTGTCGCATTGACGTGAAAAGAAAGACTGTCTTGTTCTACTGAAATCTTACGGTAAACAACACAAACTAACATTGGGCTCGCTAGACCACCATAACCATTCAGCGTAGAAGCGAATATTCAAGTGATCAATCCTGATAGCAACAGCAGAATGTTACCTGAAAGTTCCCTCGTGAGGTTGCAAACAATTTCTCTCCTTTTCGACGGCGTAAGAAGGTGTGTGGTTGTACGGTGTTGTCTGGTTTGAAGTTCACTAAAGGAAAATGCGCAGGTGAACTGAGATGCGAAACTGGAACACGTCAGCGAAAATGACGCAACCCCTTTTCTTTCAAGGGTACCGTATTCATCCGCAATGTTCAAGCTATCAAATAGTTCGGGCGAGCACAAAGTAGTGCGAAAGGAATTGAAAACTTTGAAAAATAACGACAGAAATTCTTAGGTAGCCGACAGTGAGAAATTGAAATATGTGGTGTGTTGTGGTGTGCTGTGGTGTGGTATAGAAAATTGAATTTGAGACTGAATAAGTGATTATGAATTTTTAACAGTCGCTGTGTAAATAAGCCTTTAGGAGCGTGTCGGCTGCAGTTCAGTTGTCCTCCGCATGACGTTTTTTCGCACTTCAGTTACATGTATGCTACAACGATATCACTCTAAACATTGAGTCAACAGAGAAGTACGCAGCATAACGGTGCATGTGTGATAAAGGGAAACAATAATTTGGCCTATTTGTCAGGCACATTTCTGTAAAAAGAATGTTTAAAAACGTAATCAGTATAATTATACGTACTTCTGGAATGAAACATTTACCACAATACCAAAATACGTCAAACTAGTGACATATAACGCTATCTACATTTGTATCAATATAGTACAAACACATATAATTTGTACTGTTTATTTTCGTATCTGTCTCTCGTGCCTCAAGTGTGCTTGGCTAAAAACACGAACCGTATCGAAGCCGTATTTTACTTGTAGCTGCATACTTGAAAAATCATCATGCTTCACCTCAGTTGAAGATAGCAAAATTACACAAGACGTTATACTATAGTGCGGAAGGGCAACCGCAAGCTATATAGCGACTTTTATATCTAACAAAATGACATCCACTGGCAGCCTTAACAGAGTACATTCTAGCGCGTGTACGTCTGCAACTAAGACCAGATTCAAGTCGACAATTAGATCAATATACCTCACCTGTTTACGACATCTTAATAAGAAACGTCAAAGATGATTGCTGATCATGTATACATCTTGACCGTCACATCAGCGGCATACTATTAACTATTTGTTTACTATCAACTTGTTAAGTTCCAGTATATAATGGCGGTCACATACATTCGTCGTAGGTCATCGTACAATTTTGATGCCTTAGAATTTTCAAGACAGATCCTACCACCGATAATTAAGCTAAAGACAAATTAGTATTGCAGGAAACATGTATGACTCCGTGCCGTAAGCCTACAGTACACGTGGTGTCCCAGCGACAATCCGTCACTCCTCAGTATCGTCCGGATCCTGTCATTCGAGTTCTCGTACATCCATTCTGGCCAAGTAGGCATGGACTTGATCAGGAGTGTACCGCAGCTTTTGTATTGTTTCTATGGTGATGCGTCTCACGCCCCAAAGCCAGCCGCTCTCTTGAATCTCTCTCGTCAGAGTGTCCGTGGCCGTAAGGATGTTTTGCATCGCTTCCATTTTCTTATGTTCTAATTCCACCCTCCTGACGTTGTTGTATATAACGCCCAGGGGAATGCAACACGCCACGATTACAATTGCAGCAAAGGGCCAGGCCTGCCTTTCATTTAAGCCTCTCAAAATGCTCCCTACAACATGTAACAACAAGAGCACGAAACTCGCGAGGAGAACGAATACAAGGAGGTCCACGTTGAGAAACATGCCGTCCTTATCTTCTTCACCTGTAACAACAATAGGATTAGAACAAGGTTTGATAACGATATCTATGAAATGCCACGAAAGAGTGACACAATCCTTCATAAACGTTTCAAGTAAGGCTAGCACATTTTAGGTGAAAATTTTCTTGGAAGCATGTTGGCCAAGGAGCTAGCGCCTGTACAGACCCTGGGAATAGTCATCCAGGCTGCATGCACATGGAACAGTACAAAATATACATCTGCATATATGTTTAACGTTAACCCTAGAGCATGTATGTTATGTATAGTAGTAGCCCACAGCATATCGTGCACGCAACCCTTAATTAAAACACGTATGTAGCCCCTAGTAAAAACACAATTTTACGGGCGACACAATTAATCCACACTTACCGAGACCTCAGATATTGTGTCAAAAGCGAGAAGAGACGTTTCTATCCTTCGCAAGTGCTGTGTGAACCTCGGTTAAGTCTTCGCAACTTTGTAAAGCCAGGTTTCGTACCTGCCACGTCAGGGCGAATTTAAGGAACCGAAACTCCGGTGACCTGCTTATACGTATATACTTTAGCCACACCTACCGCTCGTGCATTGTCATTGGTTAGACGAATATAATTTCACCATACATATCTACCTGAAAAAAAAGACATCTAAAGGTTTTTACGAATCATAGCAACTCCCAGTATTATATAAGTGGGGAATGATAGCGAACGAAGAAAACGCACTGTGTCTCTTGTGTAGTAACGAACGAACCAAAATAACATTGACCTTTGACCGAGAAGTTCCGGCTTAGGAGCATCCGACCGATAGGACATCAGGGATAGACCGTTAATAATCATGGGGCATGCGGAAGGTTCCAGGCCTAAATATTGTTCGGGAAATGTTTATAAACAGACAATAGTAGACGCGGGCATATGATCTAGAGGACCGTGATTTGTTTGAAGTGTGTCCTGGATTCAAGGGTACCGGTAACATAGCCAATTTAAAATCCTGACGTCACATCTGATTCAACAAGGAAGTCCAACTCAAGTCCTACCATTACAAACGATACTGAGGTGTGTGGTATGGTTTTGGGGCCTTTAAAGTGTGCATATATAAGGGTACCATAAAGATATGGACATCAAGATATTCATAATTCAGTTACAAAGGGTACACATTATAAAGCGTCTCTATCTATCGTTTGCTCAATTCCTATCATTTTATTCTTACGATTCCTATAGCACCCCTACTATGGTTACGCGATGGACTCGTCTGCTGCCCTTGTAAAATGAGGAATTACCCCGTATCACGTGGCTGAGCGGCATTGCGTCATTTGCAAAGCGAAAACCGGTGCAAACCGGCTAGAGGGGACCATAGACAATCTGACAAAGGATCCCCGGGCCTCTATTGTATTTCTGTCAGCTGATCCGCTGAACACGGACCTACATTTTAAATCGCCGTATTTCATTCCAAGCGTTTGCAACAGCCAAAAAACCCTGCCGCACCAAACATGGAGTACGACACAATCCTCTCCGACTATCTCGGAGAGTTCGGCCGGTTTCAGAAGCTGACTGTTTTCGGTTTGGCAATCCTTGCAACGCCAGTCGGCATGCACGTCATGGCCATGGCCTTCCTCGGCGCCGTGCCGGAGCACCACTGCCAGCTTCCCGGGGACGCCGCCGCCGCAACCCCGCCGCACTTGGCGGCTCTGCCTGGCGACCTCGCGCCGACCTGGCTGGAGTACATGCACACGCTCAACCACAGCATCCCGCTAGAACTGGACGGTAACGGGGAATGGACGCACAGCAAGTGTGAGAGGTACAGTCACAATATCACGGCAGGCGATCTGGACCCGCTACCTCACAACAGAAGCAAACTACAATGCACAGAAGGCTGGGTGTACGACAAGACCATCTACAGTAGCAGTGTTGTTACGGAGGTAAGAGGCAATGCCAATTTCATTTCTTGTTTCTCATATTTTCATTCTTTTTAAAGACGGGGCGAGTTAATACTACGGCTATTACATAATGCGTATCAGATAGCAGGCGTAGTATGCAAATACACGGAGCATTGCATAAACAGTACATGTTTGACGTATCCCCACCGACGACCCAATTTCCACACCCCAGCCAGATCTTAACAAATACAGTGTGACGGTTCCCTGAAGCGTGCCCTTAAAACCACATCTTTCTTCTAAAATCCCACAGCCTACGATTATATTAGGCCTTCCAAGTTCTGTGTCTATAAAAATATATGATCTGCGCCAGTGGGTCACCATATGCTACGAACGGACTTTCAACTGTCAAGGACGGAGGGATTTTCACGTTCCCTGGTGGTCAAACAAG